AATTTAGACAATTCTTAATTAGTTTGAGATCCAGTGAACACATCTGTTTTAAATGAAGTAGGGTTGACATGAAACTTTGCAACTTTCGGTGGAGGCAAGGCCTAAGGCTAAGGAACCGGTTTGTTTGCTGTATCTGTGTGTTTTGTATGATAAACATTGGAATAAAATAAAAAAGAGGCAGTCGGAAGTTAAAGTAGCCAGGGCTCCTGACAGCCTGTGTTATAGTCTGGGTAAAGTATGATTTTAAAGGCACAGGATGAGGCATTTCTGTTTACCTACATGTGACCTGTCATTATACACGTCCTTCCCTAGGTTTTCCTAACGAGTTGTGTAGAGTTTATCACCTGCACCTGAAAGGTGCGAAGCATTGTTCGTTTAAAATCCGTGCTTAAAAAGCAAACTGTCTGTGCAACCTGTCTGCAGTGTGAGGAGAAAAAAAACACTGAGAAGAATCTGTTGTTTGTTCTGCTTTGAAGCCAGAGCTTGTTCCTTTATTTTCACAAGGCTGGAGCAGAGCGCTGTGTTGCAACCTGCAGGTAGGGGGTGGGGTGGAACAGGTGCTTGTTCATCCCTTAGGCTACGGGTAAAGGTGACTCTGTTTTCTTGAGCCTTCACAGACCTAAACAGGTGGATGTTGTTTTAATGATGGGGGTGGAGAGTGGACACCATTTATCCTCTGATTTTAATGGCAAACTTTTAGTGGAGATCTGTGAAATAGGAACTTTTTGATTTAAGCAACATTTCAGGTCTTGTCCTTGTTGTATCTCCTGGCCCCTTACTTTTAAATTAAAAAAGCATGTTCATAATTTCAGAAATAAAGAAATTTGTCTTCACCTTTCCAAAGTAAAATAAGTTTATTCTGGAAGTCTTTTTCCGAAACTTTTTTGATGAATTGATTTTAGGTATGAATTTGACAGGAATTTAGATGAGAAATATGGAACCAGTATGGAGCAGCCCAGCACAACGCTGTGACCACCCTGAGTGCTTGAGAGGTGGTTACAGTGGTGAATTGGAACTGCTACCAGGTACAAAGTGCAGAAGCTTTGAACTTCATTGTTGCTTTGTGTGTCAAACAAAGCTCTGGAGGAGTATGAATGTGAACAGTTTAAATCAGAGCAAAATGTGACATAAAATTTATTGTGTATTTAAATAAAATTTAACTTGGTATTTTTTATCTGCTGGCTGAAGATGGAAAGTGCACGTGAGGTCATGCAAGCATGGAGTCTGTCAGACTGTGGATTAGGAAGGTCTTTTCTAAGATATTTCAGTTACGGTGGACTGAACACTATGGATGGTTTTGCCTCTAGTGCTTGTTCATGTCTTCTTCAGCCAGGCTCTTCTGACACTGCAGAAAAATACCTGCGTTGTGTTTGAAGAATTCTAATGGAAAGAATGAAGTGAAACCTGGAATTTTTGGTAGTGTTTCTTTTGGGGTTTTATGGCTCTTAAATACCAACAGGAAATGTAATGCTGGACCCACATTTTCAAATACCCAAACATTTGACAGGAGCAATTTTCCACAGTTCACTAAATACCAGTGACAGCATGAAAACCTCAACAGATGGTCACTAGATCAGTGTCTCCCGTGTTTGTGTTTACTTAGCCTTTACTGCTGCACACTTCACCTGGTTTTCCCTGTTTCCCCCACCTTCCAAACGTCCACTTCTGTATCCTTCCTTTGCACGGTCCCCCTTTGCTCTCCAGCCATGCAGTCACGTCGTTCCTCGTGCAGCAGCTCTGCGCTGAGGCCCAGACGCGGGAGTTGGGCGTCAGAGGTGTGACCCCAGGGGCCTGCTGCCAGATGGCGGGGGAAGCTCCCGCTGCCCAGAGGAACAGTGCTGCTGCTCCTGCCATCGTCTCAGTGTGCGCTGTTAGACACCCGAGCATCGCCTCTGCCCACGCTGACCCTAACGAGCCAGGTGCCGTTTGGTGTTGATCCTGCTGTTTGGGAAATGAACGATGCGTTTTTTCTTTCATAGAGGAGACACCGATGTGAGGAGCTGCTCGTGGGCCCTTGCTGCGGGGAGGGATGAGAGCGCACGCGGAGCTGTCGGAGTAGCTGGGGTAATCGCCCTGTGCTGAAGGAAAGGTGCAGCACCTTTGCAAAATTGCCTGTGGCGTCTGTTTTAGTGTTCCTGTGGAACCAGCTAATTCCATTTTTTTTCATCCGTTGATGCAGCATTTTTCAAAACAAGCTGGTCAACATTTTTGAAGATTTTTGTTGCAGTTTCTTTCGGAATTGGGAAGTGCCTAAATATCCATCCATCTTTGCTGTATCATGCTTTTTTCCCCTTGTAATGCTTGTGTTCCTAATAGTCGCATCTTGTCCATCCCTCTGATTACGGCTTTATTTTCTTTAGTAGATGAAAATTAATTTAAATGGCATTTTAATACTTCTCTGGCTGTAGTGCGTATTTGTTTTGTTTCAAGTAACAGGCACTCAGTGATGAACTGTACATCAAAGTTTAATTATTTTGTGATTATATCCACTCAGGTATACCCAGGCATAGTTTGCTAATGAAATACAGTTCAGTGATCCCATTTCTCGTTTAGTGGGATCACCTTTTGACAAGTATTTTCAAAAAGAAAGATGCATATGATAAATTTGATACAAGAAAGTAAGTTGAGAAATTGTTTCTTTGGTTTTAGAGGTGGTTGTTTCTGCAGACATTACTTATTTATAAAAGGCATGCCATCTAGAGAGACGTGTATTCAAATTATGTATCTGGATTTGCAGATACCAAAAGAAAGCCCTCTGGGGAGCCTTGCATACTTCCAGTATTTCTTGAACTGCGCCAATATATTACTAGGACTGTGTAGGAGAATTCTTTAAGTTTTTGGGAGCTGTCTTGTCGGTAGAAGAACATACACTGACTTATGCAATTTTCGTGGGGATATAAGCATGAAAGTGAAATTCTCAATATACTTGTTTTCCCAAGCTTATTTTTGTCACTTCCTTATGATAACAGTATCAGTGTTTTAAGTTATTTGTGATAAGATTCTGGGATCTTCATTTGCCTTTACTTCTGTTTTTCTAATCTTTCTCTGTTTTCCCCAATATGATAAAATAAAGGAGAGCAGCTGTATTCTGCTGCTGTCCCACTGCAACGGTATGTGGATCCAGTGCTCCAGTGGCTCTGGAGCTCCCTCAAAATATGCACAGACATACGTCATATTGATGTCTGTGGCTTTTAGCCCTTTTATTAGGTAAAACAGACTCAATCTGAAGTTTCTCAGGTTGTCCATTCATTGGGAAATGATGCTTGATACCCAAGGCAGCTTTTAGAAATGCATGTAAGATGGCTGTTGCATCAGTTGACTTTTGGATCGTGGGTTGTTTCGTGAACACAGGTAATGCCACTCTTCTCCCGGAATGAAGCTCTGTGTTCTGGTGCACGTATGTCATTAAAGAGATCCTGACACTGTCAGTCAGGGATGGTTTTCTAGGTCAGTAAGGAGAAACAGAATATTTGCAAGAATACACAGTATATTATTACCATTCAGAAACACAGTGTATTCCTCCAATTTCATAGAATCACAGACTGATTTGGATTGGAAGGGACCTTAAAGACCATCCAGTTCCAACCCCCCTGCCATGGGCAGGGACACCTTCCACTAGACCAGGTTGCTCCCAGCCTCATCCAGCCTGGCCTTGGAGACATCCAGGGATGGGGCATCCACAGCTTCTCTGGCCATTTCTGTAACTAGTTGGATTCATCAAATGTAACATTAATAGTCTGGGGTTTAGTTCAGTTTATGTTACATTTTGGCCCGTGTCTCAGCATCCCTCCCTGTCCTCGCCATCCCAAATAAGCTTGACTGAGAAATAAAAGGCACCTTCCCAGGATGGCTGCCCACTGCTTTTGTGTTGGAGCTCTCTATGGGGCCTCATGAGACAGCATTTGCAAATCTGCGCGTTAGAATCAATATAAGTGCATTTTAAGTACATTCAGAAGTGAAGGGCATGACTCCATATTGCTGTTAGGATGCAAAAATCTCCGTCTTATTTCCTCACTGCCTAACAAAAACTGATGTGTTGGTGGAATTATATGATTAACAGGACTGATAGCAGAAAAAAGAAAAAAAAAGCATTGGCTTGGGTTTTTTTTATACTGTTGTCCTTCATCAAAGGCTTCTGGTCTTGCGTGAAGTCATTCTGTGCTGGAGAAGTGGCACGGAATCGTCACAGTTGGTTTGGATGTCTGCGCAGAAATGAGAGCAAAGCCCACCTGTTTGCATTTTTAGGTTACCTCGCAGTTTTATGCGTATTCTGCCTTATGGTCTGTGCAGTTTGGCAGTGCTGATAGCTCCAGGCTTAGTACACTGCACTGAAATTGTTCTGCGCGAAGAAAATACCACAGCTTACTTGCTTAGTACAAGAATGATGAACATGTCACTTTGCTTGAAGAGTATACAAAACCTGTACTTAAGCCCTTTTCAAGACTTTTGATCATTCACAAGCATTCTTAAATAAGAAGATTTTGTCGTATTAGGTCATCTACTGTGGTAAATATTGCCTGCTTATAGATTCTTTTATGGTAGTTACAGTACTGTATTTCTGAAGAAATGTTTTTTCTAGTGATAGCTGTTGATGTAATATTTATAGTCCAGTACTTCAAAAATTGGAAACTTAAAAATTTTGCATTTCAAAATCACTTTGACTTCTGAACGTATATTAACATGTAATAAATATCAGTGTTACTTCTTACCTAACCCCATTGCTTTAATCCTCATTGAATTATAGGTGAATGAAGCAAAAAAACCCACCTGCTACTCACAAAACCCAGAAGTAGTGTATTAAAATAGAAAGTTTTCTTTCTAATCAACTTCAGAATTAGCCCATATTAAGATCCATGCTTTCTTTTCTTTCAGAACAAACAACTCCACCCTCCGTCTTTTCTCTAATGAGGAAATTTCTCACTCAATGCTCTTATACTCATTCTTTTTTTTGTTTGATGTGTAGTCCTTATTGTTGCCTTTGTCTGTTTTTTATTGGGCAGTTGTTCCTGTCATTTTGAAAGCCCTGACGTACGATGAGAAGAGGGGGGCATGCAGTGTGGGTTCCAACGTGAGAGATGCAGCGTGCTATGTGTGCTGGGCCTTTGCTCGTGCTTACGATCCTGCGGAACTCATACCGTTCATTAATCAGATTTCAAGGTGAGTTGTGGCAATAAGAGACTGAGCTATTTACAGTTATTTTTTCTAATCTGTTCAAAATGATGAGCAGATATAAATTAATCTAGTAGTCTTAATTCTGTATCTCCTAGAAGTTAATAATCTAGGAGTCTAATGCTCTATCTTTAAGACATTTAAAATTATAAATTGACCAGAAGTAATACATCCATTTAGGAGAAATACCTTCATGCTTAAAAGGTAGCTGGTGTGTCCCATGTAATGTAAATGAAATTCAGTGATCTCTGGGTAGTGTTTGTCAAGGAATGGATATTTTTGTTTCTGTATGATAATTTTTAATAAAGTTCATTGGCTCATGCCAACAGATGTGCTGAATATCTTAAACAAAGATGAATTGATTATGGGTGGGATGACGACATAAAGAATACTGTTGTCTTTCCATGTAATTGTTGAAGTCTGAAATTTCTTCCTGTTCTGGTATGATGCGGTTGTAACTTTTTGGATTGAAATGCGTCTAAATATTTCCTTATCAAGTACAGTGAGTTCGTTTCCTTCTATTTATCTGTCATAAGAAAACTAAAGAAGAATCCAAAGAAATTCACTCTAAGAATATTCACAGAAATTATTGGAGGCTTTGGGGGGAGGGGGATGTCGTCTGTTGGCTGATTGATCACCTGCTTTATGGCTGGCTTAGCAACACGGATTCAGGAAGTTGAGGAGTATTTGGAGCCTTAGTGCACCAGAGTTAGAAATAACAAACCACTCTAAAACTGGGGAGTTGCTTTATGGAGTCATAAAGAGCTGGGAATATTAGAAGAAGAGAAAACTTATAGAAGTTACTTAACGTTTTCAGGGGAACACTTGTTTGTAATGATCCAGGAGTTGTGGTACTTCATCAGATGGATATGGGGGAAGGAATGTAGGATGTCTGCTGACAAGCTTGCAAGTTGAGCAGGTCAGGTCTAAAGGGATAAACTACACTTCAGGTCTTCTTGAAAGAGCCATTTCAGAGCCTCCTGGTTCTTCCATAGAATTTATAATTTTCATTTTGAACTGTTCCAAGTCAAGGGTTATTTTGCATAGACAATAAAGTGACATCTGGTTTCTAAAAGTGGTAAGAACGTGAGCTTTGCACAGTGACTCGGAATTCTCAGTAACATACCACTTAAAAAAGCAGAGATTTTATTATAACTAATAGGAGGTTTTGGTTAACGTTAAAAATACATGAGAAAGTATTTTTTGATAGGTTTTTTTTGTAGAGTACCTTAGTCCAGAATGACCACTAATCTCTACTTACAGTTCAACAAAGATGTATGCAAGTACTTCTTTTTCAGTCAGTGGTTTCTGTTCAAAAGACTATCAAAGGTCAAATTTTCAGAAGATACCCGCATCAAAATCTGTCATACTGCAATGGTGAACTAGAACTTGGCGCAGCTTTTCCCTTAATAGAGAGGATATTTTTGTGATACAAATTGTTTTTAGCTTTTTCTTTCTTCTCCAGCTTTTCCTCCTGTCTGTTATCTTGTGGGATTCTCTCTTCAGCACTTAGTCTTTGTGCTGGCAGCCCACTGGCTGACATTGCAAGGTGTCTTTAATGGGTGATTTGCACTGGAAACACAAAGAGGAAGCTTCTGTTTCTTGGCAGACTTTTAGTGCAGCCATTGATAGTCGCAACTCAGGCATCTTTGTCTCCATCAGAGGGTTTTTGGTCAGTAGCCATTTAGTATTACCATTTTTTAAAGGGAGAAAAAGAAAAAATTTGGACTCAGTGGTGATTTGTCGTCCTGGTTCTGTTTCTACGGGGTGCCTTGCTTCCAGATTTTGGACAGAATGATTTCAATCACTATGTGTGTCTATCTTGTCTAAAGAGCTTTGTTTGGAAACACAGGGTTACTTACTTAGCTCAGCAGCTTCCCAAAGAATATGTGACTTCTTTCTCCTTTAAAACCAGTTTTAAAAGTTCTTTGGGACAGTCTGTGAGCCCCACATACCCATTTTTATTCCTCGAGCCCATTGGACTGTACCCTTGCTGGTGTCTGATGTTGTTCATCCTAGTATCCTCACTTTCCAGTGCTGGTCCTTTATTGCAGGGTCACATTAACTGTTTCCCTTATCTGTGTGGGGCTTGCTCCTGGGTTTTTTGAGACCTTGATAAAATCTTTCTAAGAACCTGCTGTCAAATTTCTTGAGGCCAAATGCTGGTTTTCTTCTTTTTTTAAGCTGTCGTGTTTTTCTCCGAAGCAAGCAGACAAAATGTCTAAGACAACTTAGACTTGTCTGTGTCTGATAAAGCAGATTCATGTTGTTCTGATCATGTTTCATCTACTACGCCAAGCTGTGCTGGAACATGATGCCATCCGCTGTTTCTGGATGACTTTGAGAAAGAGAATGCAGTGCTCCAGAAAAGAACTTGCTTTAGTTTAAGCATGCTAGAAATAGGGGTAGTTGCCATAGTTATTAAGGAAATACTTTCTTTTGAAGGGTGATATTTAATTCCTTCTACCTGAGTTTATGGTAAATTAACATAAAGGTACCTAAAGATGTATTTGCACAGTGAAATAATCATGTTTCATAATCACCTGTTCCAAAGCACTGGGACAGGTTGCCCAGAGAAGCTGTGGATGCCCCATCCCTGGAAGTGTCCAAGGCCAGGCTGGATGAGGCTTGGAGCAACCTGGTCTAGTGGAAGGTGTCCCTGCCCATGGCAGGGGGTTGGAACTGGATGGTCTTTAAGGTCCCTTCCAACCCAAACCATTCTATGATTCTGTGTGATTACACCTTGGGTTGTATTCCTGGTATTAAGCTAACCAGCGCAGGTGGTGGGAGCAAAGAGGGCACAGAACGCTGACGGATGTTTGTAACAGGCTGTTACCAGCTGAGCAGTTAGTGCTGCGTTTAAACTCGCAGGAGCACTTGGGGCAAGGAAGTCTTCAGGCTGAGTATAGACACAGCACTACTGGACTCTGGTTCAAAACTCTGCCTTTTTGTAGATTTGGTCAGCAGTCTTAGAAAATAGATGCTCTGCTTCCTTACTCTGCCTTAGTTGAACAGCTTTGAGGTTTCGTTTAAGGTCTGGCAAGCTAGTTCATTGTGAAACTTCAAAAAGCCTAAGCATGAGTGTGTAACCCTTCTGCGTAGCAGAATTCTCATCTGCTGATCAGAATTTTTCTTCTGTTCATGGTGCTTTAGGCAATATATTTATTTTTTTTACTCCTTTCACCCTACCATGACGCAAACCAATGGTGTTCTCCATATGTTAGATGCAAGCTCACTGCTTTGAATTTACATCATCTGCGGCGTTTTGTTTTATTGTCACAAAGCTGTTAGTGGAAACTTAAGAGCAGCTATGAAGGATGTTACGTTTCTGAAGAAGCTCCTGTGTCTTAGCTTTCAGACTGGTTTGGGACCAAATTCTTCCTTTCTTTTTAGGAAAATAATTTATATCTGCTACCTATGGTAGTAATACCAACTAACACTGTGACTGTGCCAGCCACAACAACTTCAGTTGTTGGTCGAGTGGAGACAAACACAAGGTGGATGGCAGAGGGGAAGCTGGAAATTGCTTATGATCTATTGTAAGGTGTCGTGGTTTTTATGTGCTTAGTTTTCTAACAAAGCTGCACAGCATTTTGGCAAGTATTAATGCTATATTAAGGCTTTACTTAAAAATCTTTCTAGTTATGTTGGCCAGAACTTTTCTAAATATAATCAGCTCTTGAATGTAGCATTGCCACTCCAAAGAGAAATGGTGAAAAAAAATATTCAAATACAGTATGACACACAGTTTCACCTATTGTGTCAGCAAGCCGATAATTACAGACAGCTTTTTTTTAAATCTAGCCTTAGGTGTGTCACTGTTTTACTTAAAGAAGAGTCATCCTTCTAGCCACAAGCAAATTGTTGCTACCCTTAAAAAATGCACAACTCAGCATCTTGAAACAAAGTACATAATATCCATTGTCCGCTGAATTACACAGCAAAAACATCTGTCTATATAGGAATACAAACTATGAGATTCATATAGAAAAATAGTAAATCATAGAATCACAGAAGGGTTTGGGTTGGAAGGGACCTTAAAGACCATCCATTCCCAACCCCTCTGCCATGGGCAGGGACACCTTCCACTAGACCAGGTTGCACCAAGCCTCATCCAGCCTGGCCTCGAAAGGAAAACTACTACCTCCTTAAAGAAAATGCTGTGAGTGGTTGCGATTCTGAACTGTTTGCTTTGTCTTGGTGCTAGAATCGCAAGCAGTTTATCCTTCACTCGCAGTCTCTAAGGTGGCTGTTTAGCTGGCTGGAGGAGCACAGATGACGCTGGCCTTGGAGCACAAGTGCCTGGTTGCTACGCTCACACTCAAAGCAGGGTAGAGCAAGCGCACTGGTGGTAACTAGGAGGTGTTGAGGTAAACGATGAGCTGCTTCATTTCTTCCTGCTCCATGTCATGGCCTTTGGCACGTGTTAGAGTATCTTGTCGGGAAAAAATACTTGGGTACCAAAATATGGAAGACGTGTGCTACTTAAACGGGGTCCTGTCCCACAGCCCATTCAGACTGTGGGACAGTAGTTGGTAATTAAAGCAGAGAGGCAATTTCTTATGAATGTTCTGTTATTAAGGGATGTAATTGTCAGAATATTGAAGTTACAGACTTAGATTGCTGTAGATCATAGATCAGCCCTTTTCCTTCCTGACCTCACCACTGTTCTTTTAAGAAAACCAGAAAAGATGGGGAACACTTACTAGACATACTTGCCTGAGCGTATTTCTGATAGTACTTGCTCTTAATTTTACTTGTCAGTGTTTTTTTTTCACCTATCCATATTTCAACAAGATACACTTACTCAGATTTGCTAATTTATTTTTTTAAAGTCCAGTTAAACTGGTTTTTAAAACCTTGCTGCTCTAACTACAGGACCACAAAAGTAAAATTCTTGGCAAAGTAGATGAAACTTCACTTTTTATTGCAGGAGAACCGTACTACGTTTTGAAATACTTGCATGTACTGAAGTTGCTATTCAAGCATGTCTTTATAAAAGCACTACGTGACAGAGATGTTTTTTTCCTCTCCCAGTCTCTACATGCATGCTCTCTTTTTAACTTACCTATGAGGAAAGTTAAGTCTAATTTAATAACTTGGAAGCAGGGGTAATTTGATTCCTGCCCCCTTGGGTGTGGAAGTTGCAGGCTGTGAAGTGGCAGGTGCACAGGGAGAAGTGAAGCTGTTTTGTTTAAAACCTAAACAAAAAATAAAAAGGAAAACAAATTTCTACTCTATTATACAATTATAGTGAATAAATAGTTGCTGGCTATCTGAATGGTTTGGAACTCTTGCACAGCCAGAGTGTAGTTTCATGTATCTGTCGTTCGATGGTGTAGGTGATCAATAAATGAATCGTTACTTGGAAAGACCTAAGTGCTGTCTCCCGTCCAGCAGAATAGCGATACAAACAGTGAGTACAGTGCAGGAGTGCAGGCGGCTTTGTCTTCCCTGCGGTGCTGCGTTGTTTTTGAAGAGGAGGGGAAAAAAAAAAAAAAGGAAGGTGTGGCTAGGGATGAATGATGTAGCTTGCTCCAGGGCAAGATTGTCCTGCAGAATTGGGGAAATCTGAAGCATTGCTTTGAGCTACATCTTGTACCGTGATGAAATATTGAGAATTGCTTTCTTTTATGTATCTGGATGTTGCCTTCAGAAGAGCGTTGTGTGCATACTGTGTCTTGCTCTTGTGTAAAGTTATTTCCCGCAGGGGCATCCTATGCCTTTTTTTTTTTCCCCCTTTTAATAGCAGCATTTATAACTCCTATTCTAAGCATTTTCGTGCTCTTTCCTACATATGTATTTATTTTAATTTCATTATTTACCCCTGGGATTGGTGTAACACACTGAAGTCTGTAGGACGTTGAGTGGCTAGCATTAAGAGCTTTATGTGAGCTGGGATAGAAGGACTGTGAAAGTATACAGTGTGGGAGTGGGAATGGTCACTGCATTTCTCTTCTTCCCAGAACCTTCTCCTTGCCTAGAGAAATGGGAGGAATTAAATCTGGGACTGCAGTGTGAAGGGCTTTTCCCCAGCAGTGCTGGCTGAAGCAGGCTCCTTCCCCTGCGTGGCTCCTGCGGTTGTGTAGCCCAGCTGCACCTGATAAAGTGAATGGGGAGCTTCTCTCTCTTAAAAAAGCTAGAAAAGACAAATTAATTGAGCCTAGACCTGCTCTCGTTATCCAGCCACTCCAGTTGGGGTACTGGCACGCTGGAAGAGGTGCGGAAAGGGCTGTTTGCAGCAGCAGCTCTCAACAGTCTCGCGTCTGACTCTGGCCTCGCCTCCTTTTTTGGCTTTCTGGGATTTTTCGAAACTGTTTTGCTTTTGATGATTATTATGCCTCCTCTTCCTTTATGTGTAGTAGGGAGGAGAGTTTTCTGTCCTGTTACACTTTTCCCTTTTTTGGGCTCAGGAAGGAAATTTTGGGTTTGTGCCAAATTGGCAAGAGGTTTGAGAGTGTATGTTTTTCTTCCCACAGCTCCGGGGTGGTATGCTTGAATTAATAGTAGCAGATTCTCAGAGGTTAGCAATAGGATAAGCTTCTTGCTGCTTTTGACTAGGAGTACCTGCTCCAGGTGAGAAAGCAAATTCAGTTTTATTGTCCAGTACATCTGGTGCTTACAAGGAGCAGGTAACCTGGGCTTTCTGTGTTCTGGTGTCTGCCATGGGGCAGGCCTCTGCGCTCCGATTCTTTCTGCCTGGTCGGGGGAAGGAAGTCGGGGTTGGGCCTCGGAAGGGAGCCGCTAACACACTTTGGGTCCTTTTAACCTTCCCTGCAGTGCTGAGTACTTGGGGGAGAGGGGAGGGGGCAGAGAGGGAGAATTAGTAGTTGGCTGATAGAATTGCAGCTTGCTTTTCAAAATCTGTTTGTGTTTATTGTACCCTTACCTGCTTGTCATGCATACAGGCTAAATATACCTCAAGGAACTACAAAAGGTGTTTCATAGAGGCTGCAAGATGCAAAGCCAGTCTTTGCTCTACCTGTTGGTAGTCAGGTGTGGTACATTTCAGGCAAGTCAAGACATGATTCTTTAACTAGCTTAAAAAAAATATCCCACTTTGTTTGACATAAACAGTTTCTTTATATTAGGAAATCCTGGTGGAGTATCACATAAACTCCCACGACAATGCAGACAGGTGAAGACACCTTAGACATGTTTCATCTTAGGCATGTTGCTTTCCTTGCTAATCCCCGTGTTACGGCAGACTGTGCCTGCATTTTCAATGAGGAATTAACTTGGAAAAAAAAAAGAAGGGTAGTTTGATAAGTTTAAAATACTTCTATTAAAAGGATTAACATGAAACAGTGACTACAGTATGATTTATGAATATAATGGGGCTCTGGGGGCAAAGACAAAATCCATGGTTTTTTTTTGTTTTGTTTTTCTTAAGCTTGGTGTTCACTTGCAGCACTGAATAACTCAGGTGGCATCACACAGTGTGTTGGTTTGTTTGTTTTACTTATACAAGTTTGTTTTACGGTAACAGAAGAATAAGAAAAAATGGACAATTTGATTATAAGCTGAAATACTGGTCAGAAACTCTTGTTGTATATAATAACCTGAAACTGTTTTCCATTATATTTAATAAACCACACTAAAGTTCAGGTGTGAGAGCAGTATTTATTCTCCAGTGATGGTCTTTTAACATTTCCAGTTTGAAAAGACCGCATAATCTTTCAAATCAGTATGTTAGTATTTAGTGTGTATATCCTGACACTCATCCCTAAGTGTCTCTTTTGGGCCACTGTCAGAGACAAGACAGATTTGGAAGGATTTTGGTCTGACCCAGCACAACTCTTCTGAAATACCCTGTAAGACTTACCTGCAGGGTGCCTTTGACACAGTAAGGGCTGTTCTCTGCATTCTGAGCTTCCTGGCTGGGTAAGGGGGCTTTTTAGTAGTTTGGTGGTGGGTTTTTTTTTTTTTCCTGTTTTCTCAGAAGACTATTAAAATATTGCATAACTGACAAAATACTGGTTTATCTTGTAGGCCATATAATCGGAAACACCAGGCAGAAATTTGCTTCTTTTTCCTTTCCAGAATGATTTTCATCCAATTCTTCAGTTCTGAATGTTTTCTTCTACAATTAAAAGATTTATTGCAGCTATTCATATCATTATGTACTTCTTAAATGTCCTTTTAAATTTCTTCTTAAGTTTCTCTGTATGCTAGAGAAGAAAATGAGCAAACGTGGTATGAAGATGTTGTATTTGGCCCAGCACTTTTTCAGCTGTTAGTCATGCAAGCTACTTCCTAGCCAAATGCTTCCTAAACATTTGCTTTTCCAATCGTTATTGTTTGGAGGACCTCGTTTGTCTTACAATCACTTAATGTCTTTGTGGCAGAGGAATTGCTCATGAAGTGGCAAAAAGGAAGCATTAACTGTCTTTAGAACAATTTCTTGGGGTTTGTTTTCATTTCATTCTTGCTTACTGTCTCTTGTTTCCCATAATGGAGGTAAACTGAAATTACAGAAGAAACACTGCATTTCAGCAAATTTTAACAACATAGTATTCTTCCCTGTAGGAAACTGATATCCACTACCCAGGAAAGTTTGATATTATCAGTGTAATTAATATCTTTATGCTAAAGCAAAGCTATCTTGGATTTACTTTTCTTCCAGTATTTATTTCCTGTCTTGCCTCGAGTCAATAAATAATGTAGTGAAGAGTTTTGGAGTTTGAAAGGAATAATTTTCTGCTTAAATGATTCTCCTGAAGAGATGTTTATTTGTCACTGAAGTTAATTGAATGCTGGAGGTGGATTTCTAGACTTTGCGTCCTGGAATATATTCTTTCTCTCCTGTTGTGTAGGACGTTTTTTAAAGCAAATCTTTTGAGGTAGAAGGATTAAACTATGCAGGTTTACCAGACTTCATGCCTAAAGAAATAGTTCCATATAATTGTGCCTCTGTATCTACAGGTCACTATTTAAAAAACAACTGCTTTGCAATGTATCTTGAAGGTCACCTTTTAGCAGGATTTGCATATTGTTTTCTGAATTTTGTTACTTACAGGATGTGATTGCTCTTGTAGAAATAGCTGCAAGTTTCTATTGCTTAACTTGTAGTTTTGCTTAAGCCTTACATAAGACTTGCTGTGCATTTGGCTATTGAGAAACTGTATTTCCAAGTTTTAGTTTAAAATTGCACTGTATGACTCTCACATTTGAGATGATAGTTGTGTCCAAGTTTAAAGCTCCTGCTCAATGTAAAATGGAAAACCTTTCTATGCAGCCAGACACACTCACATGCTCCTTAAATTGCTTTGGTACAGTAGGATGGCAGTTGTCTGTTTATGCTGTTGAAAGTCCACAGCAAGCTAGAGAAACAAGGAAGTGCATGGTTATTTCAACTCAAATTTTAGTTTTGGCTTGGATTTGTAAATAATAAGCTCCTTAGTGGAAATGCTGCATGTCCCACATACAAGTCTAAATATTGGAATGATGGCATTATGCATTTCTCATATTTTTCGGACTAATACTCAGTATTTTATTTCCTCAGTGCATTGGTTATTGCTGCAGTATTTGATCGTGACGTTAATTGCAGAAGAGCTGCTTCTGTAAGTAATCACATTCTAGCTAAAACGTTTCTGTTAGTTTCTGTTCATTTTCATTTAGTTTAATAATTTGTAGACTTTGTAGAACTACAGTATATAAGTATATATATACTGTACAATGTATATATGTGTATATATATACTATACAACGTTTTGCTCACATTGTGTTGTGAGCAAAAAAAAGTGATTTTATTAAAATCCTTAGAAGCATGGTGTGAATTTGCATTTTAAATTATATAATCCACAGATCCACATGGTGATTTATGTCCATAGTTCACAACCTGCTGTCTTGTTGTCATGATATGTTTAAGATAAAGTATCTAGGAGAGAGCTGTTTAGTGTTTTCTAGTCACAATATCAAAGACAAAAGGGTCATTCATAATATCCAAACACTGATCTTGTTCAAGTCACCAAGCTGGAAAGTTTGGGAAGTTACACTTTTCTCATTGTTCATCAGCTGTTACTCTGTAACTGTGGTAAGCTCAACATTTCTATAATATCTCCCCTTCAAACATATTTTCAGTTATTGTACAGAACTCTTCCAGTAGGACTTTGAATTTTTAGAAGAAAGTCATAAATCCCTTAGGCAGATGTTGTTAACTAGTTAATAGGACTGAGACTGAAGTATATTCTGTGGAACCCCTCTGTATAAAATACTTACGCTGTTGAGAATTGAAAAGAATGTGTGATTGTTCTTAACAGAAGGGAATTTATGGAGGAGAGATGTTAGAATTTGAGAAGAAGAAAGAATGGATGTCTTATCTTTGAGAATTTTAAGTCAGTGTGTTTGTATTGAACTGGCTTTCTTAAAAAAAATGTGAGTTGTCTGTTTCAGCAGGTAAAACAAACTGTCTTATGGAAATATAAAAAACCCACCCTGTAACTGTATTAACTCAAACACATGACCAAACAATGTCTGTGAAAGAACCAGACGTCTCTATTCCTAAGAATAAACTTCACCGTGAATGCATTAAAAAAGAAAGAGCTGTCTTTGCAACATGCAAATTAACTAACAGCTCTGTCTTACTTTTTGACTGAAATTTTGAAAGCTAATGTATTTGTAACATAAGGATTTCTCAGGGGTTTCTCCGGGATACCTGGAGAGCATCCTTATTTTTTCTAGCCACACCTCTGCTTGAGAGTTTAGCTGTTGAATGAAGCTGCAGCGTAATTGCTGGGGAAGTGAGTCAGTTGCTTGTGTAATCATATCACAAATCACGTTGTCCAGATGGGTTAAAACCAAACATGGGACCTAAGGGGCTGTAGGTCACTGAGTGCTGGTGTAACGTATTCTTCGCCTACTGTACAGCTAAGGAATACGAGCAATGCTACCTTCCCCTAAACTTAACTCCTAAATATTACAAACTGTAGAATTTGCTATTCTTGTTTAATTGAAGTCATGCTATTCAAATAAAATCCTTAGAGGAAAAGACAGGTAGCTTTGCTTTCCTGAGACCTGCACAAAACATTAGGGAGCAGACGCTGAAAAGTGAACTTATTTGCTCTGTAGGAATCAGTGGTAATACATAGAGAGAGGAGAATCTTTTAAACATGACTGCCACTGCAAGAGTACTGCTTACCTTTAGTAGCTTGATCTAATTGTCATGTCTAATCTTCATTATGTTTCTACACTTAAACATAAACCGATGGTTTGACCATGAAATATGGTGCTAATACGGATACATTTACTAATGCTGTAAGCGTAGTGCAGATTGTGCTTCCATATTTTAAATTAGTACAAAATCAGTACACTTTCTTCTCACTTGCCTCTTCTACTTTAAACCAAGCCATCGAGCATTCTGCAATTCAGTTATCCCCAGTCAAATTGTATTTTTCATTAGTACATTCCAATTTAGAGCTGGTCAAAATTTGGAATTGCTCTTTTGATGAATAGCTCTGAAAGTACTGAAACACTTTCTTGTTTCAGAACGGCAGGCAAAGAAATATTTTGTATTTACTGGGCATTACTACAGCTCCCAGAAAAGTACCTGGGAGTCCTAATTATTTCCAATCATTATTACAGTTAAATACAAATTAAAATAAACAACATGTTTTACTAGATTTTCCATCTGTTACAATATGCAATATATTATAATGCAGAGCACCAATAAAACAAAGTAGCACATAGAGATATTTTGAACCCTGAGGATAGAGAGAATAAAACAAGACTACTCTTTTGAAGCTCCAAGAGCGTTCTGAGCTGACTTCTGCAACTCTTTCATGAATAATCATTATAAGGAACAATCACATGATTAAGTGATCTTGGTTTGGGCTCCATTCAGCTCTGACTTGTTAAAGAGAAGGGTTTTTTTCCTCTTGGTTTGTTGACCATTTTAAAAATCATGACTTAGAGAACTTTTTAAATGTTTTTTCAGTTTTTGTGGGAACAGCAAAGTATTCAGGTGAGAAGGCTAGTTGGTCATCTTGGTTCCAATATCATGGAAACGTTGAGATGTTTGCACCCATTTCTTCCAGCTCCAGATGGGGGTTGTATGAAAAACTACTTTTAGGAAACAACTGAATTATTTGCCATCTTTTAGGAATTTGCAGTTGTCCCAAAGTACGATTGCAATATTAACATTTTCAGTTACTGAAAGTATTATTTTTTTTTTTATAAAGTATTAAGTATACTGAAGTATTATGAAGAAAAATCTGTAAAACAATAAAAAAGTGCTAAAGGAACAAGGAGGGAATTCTGTGAACATTAAGTGAACTCTAGAAAATAGCCTCTTCACTTGGATGAACAATATGATTCATTATTTTCGTATTTCTGTTTTGCTTCCTCTCACAAAGCTTTAAGAGAATGAGATTGTGGGGATGGTTTTCCTTGTAAGTTCTTCTGTGCAATGCACTCCTTCACACCCAGAGAAAATAATTTACCATATTACATTTGTGTTGCTAAAATTGGGATTAGATGCCGTCCTCCTGGAACAGCATTGTGTTTAAATTGTCACAGCGGAATGTGCATTGCCTACAAAGCCTTCTTAAATCAGTGCTGAGATTTTCCACATATAACTAAACACTCCAGGGTTCTGTTTTTACATTCCTTTGAGTGCCTTTTCTGGTTTTGTTTGAATATCTTGGTTTTCATTGTAAATTTCCTCACAAATGGCTGAAAACTTATTTGCAGAAGAGGTACCTTTTTGCGTTTTTTAAAAAATGCAAAACAACAATGCTGGAGCTGAGAGGAGGGTCATGGTAATGCGTACAAAGCCCCCTTGACCGAAGCAACCAGCTGTGAACCAGGTTACTCTACTGTTTTAGTCAGCAAATGGAAAATTTTCTAGCTACTGAGCTATGTATGCAGGAATTTGCTTTGAAATTTACATACTTTTATGAATTTTAAATTTGTAACACAAGTGTGAGAATCTGTAACTGATTATTTTTCTCTAAGGATACTAAATTGAAATAATCAACAAATATATTGATAATAAGGCAATACTAAGATCTGTCCTTGTAAACAAGGTTAAAGTTGTGTGGTTTTTATAGCTACACTAGTCGCGTAGGTCTAATTTAACATGTGAATTAGATGTTTAGAATACATGAGATGAATGCTAAGTAGTTTTGCCAAGCTGCTGGACTCTTTCTTAGGTCTTCACGGTTGCTTTTCTAAGTTAGAAAGTGAAACGGTGCTAACAGCAGTCGAGGTTTAAAATTCCTACTTTAAGTAAACAAACCATGTGAAATTTTTATGTACAATAGCTGGTTTGCTGCAACATTGTCTATCGGCCCCTGTACCTCTTTTTCCAGTGATTTTGCCACAGTGTAATTCATTCCTGGGCCTATGGATCTATTGTAGGTAGAATAAAACTTGCACTGGTTTGAGACCAGTTTTTCGTTGTTTGGATATCAGAATTTCTGATCTTAAAAAAACCCAAGAGGCTTTTATGCATTTTGTGTCGGTAAGGTGCTTGTCTGAGCAGTATATTTTTAAAAGAAGTTGTAATGCAATGCTTAAACTATTAAATCCCTTTAATATGGTATTTGAGAGCATCCTCCTTGCTGAAACATCCTGTGCTGTGTAAAAGGGTCTCAGTGGTGTAAAAGGGGAGCTAACGCTAACGTGTCAGTAGAAAGAAATAAGTGATGCAACGTGGCACAAATAACGTCCTGGCAAATCCAGGCTGAAGTCGTATGGATGAAATAAGTGCTGCAGCTCCTGTTCCCGGTGTGGAAGGCGGCTTTCGGTGTGGCCCAAGGCTGTACCCGGGCTGCGCACGGCCTAGGACGGCCCGCGCTGTTCTGCCTGAGGCAGCCCTCAGCGGGTTGGCCTGGGGCTGGGGCCTCTGCCCGCAGCCTGGCTGCTGTTGCCGGCGGCTTGTGTGGGCCCCGAAGCGCAGCAGGGTGGTGGGTGCGCGGCTTGGAGTCAGCCTGTGCTACGTGTCCTGCGGTGGGTACGCTGTGAGTAGGAGCTGAACGAGCCTGGGCAAGTCTGCAGGAACTGCAGCCCTTATCCTGAGCAGACGTAACCTCTGAAATGCCCAAGAGGCTCTGGCTTCACGAGGGCTTGCTTCTCCCGTGTTCCGCGAGCGCTTGCTCCTCCGTGTGTACGATCCCTTGGGGAGCTAGCCTAACCGTTTGGTTTTACAGGTGCGTTGCCGCATGCGCACTGTGTTTACGCAGGAAATGCAGCAGCTCTGTCTGTCAAAGGGCTTGTGGCATTTTCAGTAAAGATTGGGACTTCCCCTCGTATGTGAGATACTCGTTAACCGGATCTCTCCTCTCTGAAAAGTTAAAATTTACACAGGTTTTCATTAGTACTTAAAATTGTATATCCTTTTAATAGGAAAAAAAATGGCTTTTTTGAGAGAGGGAGAAAATTCAAGTAAGGAGTAGGGACTTAAGTGGGTTTTATTCTGAATACCAGGCGAGTGGAGAGATTAACTTCACAGTTGCATTCATTGCAATTTGTAAGATTGAGTTTAATGCAACGCACAAAAACCATACATGCGTTCTGTCTTCATACTTTATAATTTCAGTTTTCCAGCTTGCGTTCAGATGTGTATCTTTCAAACAAGTACTACATTCTCAGTATTTTTTGTCTGAATTTTTCATCGACAAGGGATGAAACTTCACTACTCTTAGCAAATTGCGCCGAAGCAGTCAGACAGGAGCGAGCCGTCTCAATTTCTGTTGTCTGCAGGTATTGACTTTCAGTTCCAGTGCGAAGCCTTGTGTCACTACTCCAAGCACTCGTGGGTGTGACTGGTTTAATAAACTCACATTCTTAAACTGCTGTCATGCAACATACAGCTTTAGGAGCACCAGAACGTAGAGATGCAGAAACGAAAAAGCCCCGTGGGCTTGTTCTACTGACAAAGCTTACTTTATTTAAAAAAGAAAAGCCATGGGTCATTTATATTGTTGTGTGTTATGAATTCATCATCTGGTGTTTATCAAAAAGCAAACCTGACTCGTTTTGGTATGTTTGTTCTCTGTTCCTTAGGCTGCCTTCCAGGAGAATGTTGGGAGACAGGTATGGTAACTTTCTTGAATCTTCATTCATTAGTGCCTTGGAGGTTACTGTAAACGTGTAGCACCTAAAATCAAAATCAGATGCTGCGGCTTCAGAGAAATTGAGTAAAAAATGTAATAAAATAATTGTTTTTGTTAACAGCAAACAGGTTCTTGTGGAATACTTTCCTGAGATGTGAGTTTTATTTTAGTATTCTAGTTTTGGAGGAAAGTGACCTTTCTGGTAATTCTCAGTCGTTCTGAATAGCAAAATCCGCACGTATGATGGCCATTATACGCCTTGCAAACCGCAGCGCTCTTAAAGTGGGAACAGTATGATTTTGGTTTTGTTATTTTTTTGTTTCATTGACTTTCTAGCTTTTAGTAGGAGTAGGACAGCCAAGTGTGGCACACAATCTTTGCTGTGGTTGGTGATGCAACAGTGAAAGAGGCTTAAGAGTCGCCAACTCAGTATTTGGTTTTGCCTGTTGTACTGTAACGCTGCCATCGAGATGTTTTGGGAAATCTGTTACTTCTGGAAGTACCCAAGTGCTTTGAAAAAATGTATTATGATAGGTTCCTCTGTAACTTAGCGACATTCAATAGTTAAAATGCTCAAACAACCTTGATTTTCAACCTTGGAGAAGAAGCAAATAGTGTAAAGACTTGGATTTCAAGGTTTTCTGGTTTCTCCTCAGGACATAGTAAAGCTGAATATACAACTTAGAAAAAAAAAAAAGGAGGGTAAAGTGGTTCAGTGGTTCTTGTGACAAAGCAGGGCATGTGAGCATGGTTAAAGCAAATTTTGTTAGCAATAATCTATTCTTTAAGGGATCTTTGTTAAAATGCTGTCTAGCTATATCATTCCTGAAGATCTCTGTGTTATGAGCCAGGGTATTATTCCTTTAGAGCTACGGGTATTAAGCAGCGTGTCCGTAACCGGTGTGTGTGTTTCTAGGCAGAATGAGGTTAAGAGCAGAGAAGGAGTGCAAGAAGACTAGGAGGAAGAGGGTAGGTATTTTTGATGACCTGACCCATCCTGGTCTGTGATAAGTAGAAGCCAGTGGTGATTCTTCCCTGGGCCTGTAGTTACTGCCCGGGACAGGTTAGTCATCACACAGCAACTTGGCCTGATTGCACTTCGTGAGGTACTGAATGAAGCAAACAGCTTACTGTGACTTCAGTTCCAGGTGAGATAGGGCTCCTGGGCACTGCTGGTGTAGAAATGCTTCCATGTAGCAAAAGCCTTGCGGGGTGTTTTGTTTCTTAATCAGAAGCATACAGTCTAAGTCAGTTGGCAACTAGAAATTGTGCCTGTGATTCTGCTCTGATGCAAGATGCAAATTTGTCAGTGTTGGTAGAACACACCACAATTTTAGCTTATATGTCGGCATGGTAAGGAGGAATTTGCAGTGAAATAGTAAGTTCTCGTGGCATGAAGAACTGTATCAGTGTCTAGTTGGTTCCTGTACATGTTCAGAAGTTTTACCTACTAAACCATTCCTTACTGCCTAGGAAAATGGTTTCTTAATCAGTGGATACACCCTCTGTAGTTCTTTACTTGGATTACTGTGTTGAAAGAGACACCCTTTCTCTGAATTGGAAGGAGCTAAACCATACTCGCCACCTGAAGTAACAGTGCTGATACTCAGTAGGTGGAGGAAGAAAGTTGATCTCACTTAGTTCCTGGTTCCTGCCTGCTTCACCTTTGCAACTCAACTTGTCCTGAATCCGAGAGCTTGCTCTTACGGCCTCAGGAACAGAAGCCCTTGTAACTCACACTTCATGTAAACTTTGAAAATCTGAAGAATTTATTTTTAAGCATAAAGCAAGAGTAATGTACATGCTGCTAATAAGACAAACTTTCATATTGGAGAAGTACGTTTTAAGTGGTCTGTTGGAATGGAAAGTGTTAGCTTTTCCTCTGAAGTCAGCCTCTCCCATCAGCCATGACCTCTGTACTCACGAACCTGGTGTCAGGAATTTTGCTGTCTCACGGACATGCACTGTGCCACCATAACCTTTGGTGAGATGGCATCCAGCTGGCGCACTCACAGTCAAGTGACAAATAGCAAGCTCCAACTAGGAGCTAGAACTGAAATTCTGTACCTGTGATTTTCCTGAGGTACAGTATACATTCTTTTATATTTAATGGTATGTTGTCTTGCTTGGCTATAAACCATACTGAAGTATTTAAATTGAAAGTGGGGAGGTTTAGGTTGGATATCAGGAAGAAATTCTTTCCGGAGAGGTGGGGAGGCACTGGGACAGGTTGCCCAGAGAAGCTGTGGATGCCCCATCCCTGGAAGTGTCCAAGGCCAGGCTGGATGAGGCTTGGAGCAACCTGGTCTAGTGGAAGGTGTCCCTGCCCATGGCAGGGGGGTTGGAGTAGATGATCTCTAGAGGTCCCTTCCAACCCCTCCCACTCTGTGAATCATTCTATGATTTCTCATGTGTGCGTTTTTCTCCCTAATCAGTGTTTCATTAGGCATTGAAGAGTGCATTTATTTCACCAGTATTAAGGCTTGCAGATAGTCTCTCTGATAAACCATAAATACTCTGTCTTGGTTCAGTCAGATTCCAGGCCTCGTTTTGAACTGTTGTCATTATGCTTCCTCCACAGTAGCTGACAACTTCCCACTGCTTGCAATATATACTTGTTCAGTTATCCAGGCTTAGATCTAGAGATATTTTCTATGATTTTTACAAGACTATATCCTAATGTGGAAGGGATGAGTGAGCTGTAAACAAACACAACTCTATCGTATCCAGGACCTGTACTTCCACCTAGCCTTATTGCTTAAATATCATATGATTGTCCCTTTGTACGTGAGCAGAGTGTCTTTCAGTTGGCTATTTTCCATTTGTACTTAATTATGGCTTGTGGAGGCTATGCTGCCTCCTCTGTTCCAAAACACAGCCTGGCTGCATAATACTGTATTAAATCAGTCATAGCCAATCAAAATTCTGAATATATGAATTGTATTGTGTATATAAAAAGGCAAATTTTTAGGTGGCACTTGCATATTTAGAAAGATAACTGATCTTCTAAACCCAAAATGTTTTGAGCAGTGATGTCAGAAGCACGCTGTTTCTGCAGGATTCAATGTTTCAGGCTTTGCTAGGAACCAGTGTTCTTTCTACAAACAAGCAAACTAACCCCAGTTTTTTAATTCATTAATAAGTAAGTCATATATGTCTACATAGAACAAATGGAAGTAATGGAACTCCCATGTATTCTGCATGTGATGCATGTCTTGGTGCCTAAATCTCTAATTTTCTACTTCATAAAACTCGCAGCCGTTACTTGTTCCTTCACATAAACTGAAAGCAAGTTTATATTTATCTAAACCTTCTGTTAGATAAACCATTTTTCTGTGTACGTACGTAGTCATGCATTCACCAAAACACATATTTGGGTATGACTTGGAGGTATTAAGATAGCTGCTGCATAGTTTATTACCTGCTGCTATTTACTGTGATTCTGTATCATTGACTCATAAGTGCAGCTAAATATTTTGCTGTTGATATTTACAGTATCCTTTATATCTTTAGTATAAGTGATTTTACTATAAATTAGATATTGTATTTTTTCAGTGCTTGGACAGTAGTAGGAGACGTGTTTGCAATAATGTTGGCTATTTGGAAAGTGTTTCACATCTTTAAATAATATTTTCTTACTTTTTTCCCCCTTCTTCCCTGTGACACTTGTAGGGCACTTTTCCACATGGCATAGACATTCTAACTGCAGCCGATTATTTTGCTGTTGGTAACAGAGTTAACTGTTATCTGACTATAAGGTAAGTTTCTGAGCATTAATTTTCCTAAACATGAGGGACTTGTTTTACATAATGAAATATTTGTCTGATTGATTCACCTTACTGAACATTATGTTTATTACTTTTATTTTTGAATAAATTAAAACTTCATTTTTCTTATTTCTCCATCAAACTGCTGGAGACTTGTGTGTAAGACACGGTGAAAATGTGACCGTCGTTTCCTTGTCTGCGCTGAAGAAGCAGCCAAGAGGCAATATTTGCAGGTGTCACAAACCTGTCTAAGCTGATCAAGATTAGAGAAGACGAGGGGATTTTCAAGAGTTGTAGTACAAAGAGTGGCTGTTACGATGGCAGATAGACTCTGATGTGGGTAAAAAAATAAACTAATACCCATTTAAAAAAATACTGCGCTCAAGTTGTTGAATTTGTGGTCCGTGCATGGACCTTTGAGTGCGTATGTTTTTCATAGGTAGCTCAGTGGAAATCTAACCACAGTATGCAGTAGTATTTGGAAAAACCAAACTGATCACTGCAGTATGGACTCTGCAAGGAATGCCATGGGAAACACCGAAACTGGTGTGGTGGTGGTTGTCAATCGGTGGCTTGTCTGGGAACACTGGGCTCTGTTCTGGTCAGCTCTCTGCACATACGGTAGAGCTGCAGTCAGGGGAATTCAGTGGCAAGCTGGGTGCACAATATGATGAAAGTGAACATAAGATTGCGCTTCCTCTTGAGGAGGTGAAAGAGGCTGAGGGCTGGGTGCTAGCTGAAGTTGTCTCAGACAGGCAGTCTAGCCTGGGTGTCTAGCCTCTCTCCACAGCCAGTGCGAGGAGACAGGCACCTACAGAAGGTGACTCAGACCAGCTGAAGATAGGCCAGATAAATTGCCCTATAGATTTGCACATTGCTTAGAAACCTAGAGGTTAGAAAGGCTCAAAGACATTATATTTTTTGGGGAACAGAAGCAGCAAACAGGTATATGATGGTTTACACTCTGTTGCTAGCTTTCTGACTTCCAATGGACAGGTTTTTAAGATAATTTGCAGTGGAATCCTCTATCCTTTTCCTCAACTATTTTTCTAATTAATCTGTCCACCTCCATATTGTCCCTTTCATGCATAATCATTTCAGTCTCTTCACCTTTTACCTACTGTCGGGCCTTCTGGGGTCCACACCCTCCTCCTACGCTCTGCCCCAGAGCCTGTGTGCCCCAGAGCTCCCGCCTGCTGAGCTGAGGTGGGGCAGTGCGGTGGCTGCGCGTTCACTGCTGCTCCGTCCGTGCAGCGCCAGTGGGATTTCTGAAACTCTGGCTTTTTGCACTCGTAGAACGTTGAAAATATTCCAAATAGATAAAGCAGGTTTCATTTCGTCTCTTTTATAATTTTGGCTTGCAGACTAATTAAGTTCTCCTTATTTTTTTGAGAGCCGAATTGTTTATTATTATTTTTTTCCCAAATGCTCATTTATTACTCCTTTCAGTGTGATTTCCAGGGTTTTTGTAGGAGTGTTACTTGTCTAAGTGAAAATAATTTTACTGTTGATTTTTTTTCAGCTCCTGTGTTTTCTTTAAATTGTGCAGTAGAAAGAATAAACTTGTAGTAAATTCTTTATAAATGATCTTACGCAGTTTGTAGCAGGGTTCCTTGAAACCATGTTCAGTGTTATTAATCAAACTCTTCTTTATAAAGTATTTGTCATCTCGTTCATATATTACTTTTAAATATCTTCACCACTTTACTCTTCAAACAGGTTTTAATTATTTGGGTCAATACTTAATTATTTCCTTATTTTGCCTGAGTAACATCAAAGGAAAAGTACATAAGCATGTATTTGGCTGCACAGAAAACATGTATCATTATGATGGGGTAGGAAGAATGGGCCTTTCTGATCGGTATGCCTTAAGGTGGTGTAATTGTTTATGTAGCTGGAAAAAGCTGCTTGAGGTTCATATTCCAGATCTCGAATCTTCAGCTTTCCTTTCGCCACCCAGATAAAGCAGCCGTGGGACATTTTGTATGCCGGCATAATGCCGCTGTGTGATGGGAAGCTGGGCGGGTTGGTACTGCTAGACTGCTTTGAGCAATAAAAACTGGAAAAAGATGGGTCAGCTTCGGCAGCTGAATTTGGTTTGGGTTAATAAATTTTGAGATGTTCTGGTAGACAGGCAGTATCATATAGATTTTTTAATGATATATATGTGTGTGTATAAATAGTTGCTTATATCCTTTCAAGTCTAAATACTTTCATACAAGTTTTGCACACTTGGTGTCCTTTTGAAACTTTGCTGATGTTCTTTGGAGGATTCAGCCCAAATATCATAATCTCTTTCTGAAGACGGAAGGTAGAGAAAATCCATTCTGTATGAACTGGGGTTAAAGAGATGATGTGATTCCAGTAGTTCTGGGCTAGGTAAAAGCAGAGTTACAGGAAGAAACTTCTTAATCTAAGCAGAGTGCAGAGATCTTACCGGCAACAGTATCAGGAAGGTCAGACCTGTATCCAAGGCTGCTTAAATCCAAGTTGTACCCTACTCAGTAAGGTACAAAAGATGAGGACCGTAGTTTAACGTAGTTACAAACTAAAACTGAAAGTGGCACTGGGCTACAGACATGGTCCAGGAGATCATCTTTTGATGAGCTGAGCAAGGAACCATTAAAATAGTTGGAAAAAATGTTGATTGTGAAAATAGGACCCAAAAAGCCGCAAAAGAAGAACTCCAGTAGTTTTCCTACTGTAGCAGTAGTGGCCGGGGAGGGGTGTCTATTACCGTATGTTCTTCCAGAATGGGGAAAGGAATCAAAGACTAATGAATTCTACCATGTCTCTGCTGGCAGCAACAACTAGTTAAACCAACTGTCTAATCCCCCTCTAGGGCTCCTAGCAGTAGTAGATAGTACTTGTGTATCCTCTGTTGGCTCAAGTGACTGAGGTCTGTGCGGTGGATTTAAGGAATCCTACTCTTCTGATGAATTACACAGATATCACTATGGTAATATGCAACAGCATTTAGTTTTTCTTTTTGTTTTGCTTCTAATTACATGCACGTATATTAACGAAACACCATTATGGTAGCAAGCAATCACTCAAAAGATAGGAAAAGGTGAAATTAAGGTAATTCACGCACCCTTAATTTTGTCCCTCTGTGCGTACTGTTTTGACATAAACACATTCTACTGATGGTCTAGCTCTCTAAGATTATTTAACATACATCAGATGTACTGAAAGAACATTTCACTTAACTCCTGTTAACCTTAGCTTTCAATAGCTGATGCCTCTGAAGGTTGGAAAGCAAGTGTGGCAGTAAAGTTAGGTAATTGTGCAGGCTACCTAGGTAATTTATTCTGGTGCTCCTTTACATCTTAGGTCTTGACTTTGCAGCTTTAACATTTTTTATCACAGTCAGCTTTTTGTGAATGATTTTTAGGAAGAACAAATTGAATACCCATATTCAATTTTGGACCACTATAGTTGTGAAGATGTAGCACATTTCTGTAACGATGTTACTGTGTACTGTGGATTTCAATGTTAACATGTTTCTCCAATCTGAAATGATTGTGTAAATTAATATACACATCTACATTTTCTAGAATGTAACAACGGGCATTGAATGTTTATTTTTGATTTTGTTGCTGTCAAGCATTTGTATGTATAGTAGTTTTTATAGAGGAGCTGACGAGTTTTACAGAAGTAATTTAAATTTTTTTCTATAATTGTAAAATATTTCCTATTGCATTATTTCCTTCAGCTGCATCTCATTCAGGAGAAGTGATGTATAAGTAATCTTTTTTGGTTGCTATAGAGGATTTAAACCTTGGGAGCAGCTTGTGTTAAAATGCACACAGATGTTGATTCTGTACTCTATATGGACGTTTCTTTTTCAGTGTGTATATTGCTGGCTTTCCGGAGTATACGCAGCCAATGATCGATCATCTAGTCAACATGAAGATTAACCACTGGGATAGGTGAGTTCATAAAGTCTAATTATTAACATCCAGGCATTGACTGTTCTGCACATCATGCTTTCCTAGATTATTTTTCTAAATTTTACCTATGCTAGAGTTTGCAATGGCATTTGACTGAAGGAAACTGGACAAGTAGTAACTGATGTCATCTATACCTCCCTACCATATTGTCACTTAAAACACGTTTATGAATTTCGTCTTTTTGCCATGACCTCAATCTGTTAATAGATTAATAAAAGACATTTATAGGGTATATAGTGTATGTGAGGGGTAAACACCATCACCATGCAATTATCATAACTAAAGTAGATTTCATGCATAGAGATGGTGCTTAGTCATATTCAGTGTTCATGAAGATTAAAATATGTGCATGTAACGTAAATGAGATCATATCAGTGCTGATAATAGTATGCATCATGAGAAATAATAATAGTTTACTGTAGTGTCCTGCCAATGCATAGAATGAGCCCTCAGGATCTGCCATCCACTCGTACATTTTTCTTTGTCTCTTTCAGCAGTAAGTTCTAGTCATATAGCTAAAAGCTAGCTGTAGGCTGTCTGTTTGGTCCACTCTTTTGTTTTGTTGGCTTCTTTTGAGGTGGGGAAGCATAGAATGGATGGAGAATACTGTGATTTTTAACATTGCTGGGGTCTTTATTTTTGTCAGGGACAGGAGTCGCTTCCTGACATTATTTTTAAAATGCATTACTTAAACTAAATAGTTACACCTCCCACCCCCCACCCCACCCCTCATAAAAAAATTTTTTTTTTTTTTTTGGTACATTTTCAGTGTTATTCGAGAACTTTCAACGAAAGCTCTGCATAACCTTACTCCACGGGCTCCTGAGTACATGGCAGATGTGGGTAGGTAACAAATAAGTTCTGCATAGCATGCCACATCAGGCGTTCTAGCTTAGGTAGGAAAAATGTATTAAGAAGACTTAAACATTCACCCTGACTTAATGAACATTAAGAATTCCCCTGCAACTTCATACAGTATAGTGACACTAATAGCTTTGCCAGTTTTCACATTTTATGTGAAAATTATTAATACTGCCAGATCTTTTTCAGTCTGGAGACTGGACTTCAGCTATCTGGCTGCACTGGACCCTACTGGTTCCGAGATGAATGAATGGGTGTGGTTCTGTTGCAACAGTTCAGACAGCTAGCCCTCAAATTCCTAGCTTTTGCTTTGTTGATATGGCTTTGACGTTGTTAAGGGTGGGGGGATCTGTTTTGTCTTGTCCAGTCTGACATCTTCAGAATTCCTTCTGACTGTTGTGTGTGTAATCAAGTGTTTCTGAGCATGAATTCAGAACCCTTTGCTTGGCCCACTCGAGATTCTGAGGATGTGCAAACCTCATTTCCCTTACCGCTCAGCTAGCCCAATGCCTAATACAAGTATGTGGTTTTATTTACTCCAAACAGAGTTAGCTGTGACTACAGTATTTATTGATGTGGTTTAGTATGCTTTGTCAGAATTTACCTATAATTTTAAAACTTGGTTTTCACATAATGGCCAGGATATATGGGCCTGGCTTTCCAGAAATGTGTTTCCCATGTCATTTCTAAGCAGAAACGTTTACGTTTAGAACTGTGACCTGTCACTATGATTTGTTTTTTAAAAAATAATTCAATCTCTTTCAGTTTTGCCAAGACTTCTGCCTTTATCAGTGGGCACAGACCTGCACACACGCCATGGGGCAATTCTTGCCTGTGCTGAGATCACCCATGCACTGTGTAAACTAGCAGAAGAGAACAATAGGTATAAATCCAAGATTTTCTTGACAAGAAATTGTCTTTTTATGTCTGGTCTATTGACAGCTTCCTGAGTATAATTATGGGAATCTCCATCTTACTGAACTTCTTGCCCATTAGATTTTTGTTTATTTTGATCATTCATGCCAAGCCTTCACAGTTTATTCAGTGATGTTATAAACTTAAGTCTAAATTAATCATCAAGAAAGTGAGATAATTTGCTGACGTACTTACAGAATTTTTTAGGTTGGAAAAGACCTTTAAGATAATCCAGTCCAACCGTTAACCCAGCACTGCCAAGCCCACCACTACACCATGTCCCTGAGCACCTCATCCACAGCTCTCTTAAATCCCCCCAAGGGATGGTGACTCCACCACCTCCCTGGGAAGCCCCTTCCAACACCTGACAGCCCTTTTGGGAAGACATCTTTCCAAGTATCTAACCTAAACCTGCCCTGGCACAACTTGAGGCCAGTTCTTCTACTCCTATCACTTGTCATTTAGGAGAAGAAACCAACCCCCCACCTCTCTGCAACCTCCTTTCAGGTTGTTGTAGGAAGTTCAACGTTGTTACTCAAGTATAGATTACACCCCCCTTCCCCTAAGTATGCTGTCTTTCTGGTGAGGGGATGGTCTTTCGTCTTCAGTCTTAGAGAAATAGCTCCCCAAGTAGCTTGTTGAATGGGACTGATACCATTGCTGCTCCTGAATGCCGGTCCAGGTGTATGTATAAGGGGGTGTATGTGTGTACACACACATGTAATACGTATAGTTGATGTAGCCAGAATAACTGACGAAAGAATCAGTTGGGAAAAAATGGTTGAAGATCTTTATTGCGAAAACCAGAATTACTTTGGCAGTAGAATTTTATACTAATGTGACTTAAATTGGGATGAGCTGCTCGTTATGGTCAAGGCAGTGGAAGAGTCCAGATTGCAAAGTTCACTGAAAATAGATAGATATATGTGCACTGTAGAAATATATTTTAAAAAAACCCAGGCAGACTTTTGATTAGTTTTCATTTTACAAGTTTGATAATTACTCTCTGATTAGCCTTTTTTGTTTTAGTTCTGAGAACATTTTGGTGCAGTTATGCAAATATATCTAAGGTGGTGACATGTAACAAATTTAATGCTGTCATTGTTTGTACAAGCTAAATATACTGAGATGAATTCAAATAACAGATATCAAAAGCGTGCACTGGTTTTTATTACTTTAATTATTGACAAATAGGAATTGTATTTGCCAGCAGTTTCTATCAAAGAATTTCTGTTTATGTTGAGTTCCCTTTTCAAGTAAGTTGAAAGTTAGAGGAAAAGATGCAGAGGATTTTCAGTGGTAGGAAATACTTGAAATCGATGGAAAAATCACAGAAGTGTTGCAGTCCAAAAATATAGCTGAGCTGAGAAGGGTTCTTGGACTATGATGTTATTAGTAAGTGACACTAATTTTTTATAGTCCTTTAAGAATGAGTTTGCTACATGATAAGGAAAGAACTTACGTTATTATGTTGACTGAATTATGTAAAATTAAATATTGCATATATCTTGGGCATAATTTGGAAATCAAATTATTGTTTATCTGTTTAAAAGTACAATACAGTCATAGAAGAACCATTATTTATAGCATGATTAGGAAACCAGCCTTAAGAATTTTGTATATCTTTACAGATCTATAACACATTATTTCAGTGAAAAATCATTGGAGGGACTTAAGCAAATCCATCAAGAGGTTCGTAGCAAGTATAAATGTATCTTTAAACCTGGTGTGTTGTATTATTTTTGAACAAACATTTACGATTAAGACAGCAGTTCTCCACCCTCCGCTTCCCCTGGCCAAAATTAAACAACCTCCCAGATACAGATTTCGACTGTCTGATAGCAGATGTCCTTGACCACGCGCCTTACTCCAGTATAATTCTGTGTTTGGTCCCTTCTGTTCCGCCAGCTCCTTCGCCACGTCACTCTCTCTGCTGCTGTCGCTTACGCCCCTGAGATACTGCATGGTGCTTCGCTTCATTCTTTCCTCTTCTCCCTTTTCCGTACATGCTGCCTGGCCTTGGAGACAGATGTATGGCTGTTGCCTTTACGTGACCATGCTCAAGAGAGATCGCCTAGTGACTCCATTCCCTGTCCTTTCTGTTTATTTTTTTTAACTTTATTCTGATTTTATTGCTAAATCCTTGCATGCATAATTCACCCTTGTACACCTTGGAAGTCATATTCTGTATTTCAGCTGATGCAATGTCTTTATCTCTGCTTATGACAAATGAAGTCTTGTCCTGCTCATAGCAATTTAAGATGTTTCTGTGGAGATAATTTTACCTAGCTTGTCCCTTTAAGTCATCTCATGTTGTTTTTTTCTTTTGGCTCCCATTCCTTCATCCTGTTGAACAGACAATACTTCAGCGTTCAGGCTCCTACTGATCTTCTGCAGTACCTGTAGTAACTTTACTCCCAGTTCTGATGTGCTAAAGCAGTCAGGCTTCACCATTTACCCGTTACGCTTTAAAGAACACAGGTGCTTGCTTAATTCTGTGCACAGGTGAAAGCTGCTGCTACAGGCTGAAAAGGCATCTTTGTCCTTGTTTAACTTTCTGATGTTGAAATGCCTGAAAGCTTCATCAGCGGAGTCTGTACTGTTACAGTGACCCTAATTTGTTATGAGACTTTCCATTTCTGCTGTTGTCTGTTCTTACAATTAATCTGCAAAGTTGGTGCAAACTGGTTTTATAAAGCTGTTTTATTTTGGTTTTACAACAGAGAAATTGGGTAACCTCTGATTTTTGGAGATGGTACACTATAATGTCAACGACGAGATAATGTTTTTCAGTCACATTTGGACTTCTGCTGAAGTTCTTTCTGATTAACCTGTAGCTAACAAAGTTATTTTCAAATTCAGACAGTGCAGTGTATCGTCATATTAAAAGGGCCAACTGTGGAAAGTCAGTGTGTTTTTAAAAAGCTGAACTAGCTTCCAGGGTATGTGCAGAAGCAGCTGGGATTTGGAATTAAGAAAATGAGTGCTTTGTGAACGCGTTAAATTGGTTTCCTTTGAATGTAAATTTCAAATGGATATAGAAAGGGTTGGGTTTTTCTACAATTTTTCCTTTGAATTTTATTTGCAAAATAATCTAGTGTTGCCTAGCTGACAGCATACGGATACTGCACATGAGGAGGAAACTGTAACACTTGTATCAGACAAACTCTCCTAATACGAATGCCTTTTGCTTCCCCCCCCAGCTTTGCAGTCGTCAATTGTACAGGTAAGAAAATGGGCACGGAGAATGTATTTTTCATATTGGAAAGTATGAATTAGAAGTAATGAAAACAGTAGGGTCCTGGGGAGTGGGGAGTGGGTTTGTAGACATGAGTTACACCTACTGTGGACTGCCGGTGTCGCCGAGTTCATCAGCGTGCAAGCACGTGCGCTCTTTGGGCCTTGACCTGTTACAGAGGCCGATGTCGTTTTGCAGTGGTTGTGGAGCTTAGCAAGTGCCGCTCACAGGCAGGTTAGATGACTGGGGAAGTGGTGAGTACTGGTGTCAGTATTGTGACAGAGACAGTTAAGGAAAGGAAAGAATATGCTCACTAATTCCTGGTTTCAGCAGTGTGTAGTGGATTTCTGTCCCATTATTCACCTGTGCTGTAGTACTTGCATGATGCAAATAAACCTATAGAAATGACCTTTAACTAATAAGTTAATGAGTCTAATTTATTTTTTTAAAGGAGCTTCTATTTCAATTTCAGAATCACTTTCTTCATCCTCTGTACTGACTAGGCCAGAAGTGTTACAGATAGTTCAGTAACATTTTTCAGTTCTTGCACCTAAGAAAATGTCAATGAGATTTCACGGAGTTGTTTTTCGTTACTTATTGAAGCTTCCAGGAAATAAAAAGGGGTTTCCCTAAGTAACTGTTAAGTAAATGTGAATTAAAACTGGTCTGTGACTTCAGGGTTTCTCCCTAAATGTAAGGAGATCAAAGCAAAATTAATGACTTGTATTCCCTAGCAGTTGTACGTGATAATCAGGGTTTTTTCTGCTTCAGCTGACAAATTCCTTGAAATTTTGGGTAGTTTAGTTCACTTCTTTGCACGTGATATATCTGAAAACAGTAAATTGGAAGTAGGTTTTTTGTGTAATTATTAATTATAAGTTAAAGAATTTTTATGTAAGTTTTCATACCTTGAAACTTTCCAAAAAGCTGTTAAAATTCACTTCTTGAGGGCCATACATACTGATGTGAAACTTCCTCTCCAAAGTTAGCTTGTTCTGGTGGATGGTTTTAATGCTGATCGTGTATATTGGCGTCTTTGTGGGTGGCTGTCTTGGCTCCCATAAATTCTTTTAATGTCAGGGTGGAGCTTGGGTGTAATTTGTTTTTGTCATAATGTGCACTTCTTGCACTTAATGGTATTTATAAGATGCCTGCAGAAATGTTTTCATTCTAGATAAGACTTCTAATTCAACTCCAAGCAAAATTGATTCACTGCTGTTTACTCTATTACTCAGGCTGAGACAGAGATGTCTGCTGTAATCCATAGTTTAAAATATTGGTATGCATAAAATATTTTAAAATAGGACAAGAAAAATAAACTAGGTTATAAAAACAAACCAGCAATTTGAGTATTGCTGGGCAAGCATTTAGTGAAACAAGCCAAACTTGTTTCGTGACAAGTAATTATTGCACATAATATTCCAAAGATTTCCATTTGAGAAATTGCTACTGGGAATTTTTGGTATAACAATGTCTTGTAGGAATGTTGAAAAGCTGTGCATTTTATTTTTATTTCTGGTTTTTAAAGTATTGCAACAAAACGCCATCATGCCACACGTCTCAACTGTTTATTAGGTATTGTGCTTTCCCTGCTGGCAACAAAATAGTTGTCTTTTAGGGAACTGAATGGATTTTAGTGTGTTGATAACAGCTGTTTTCAGAAATTGCATTGGCTTGTGAGAAAGGGAAAAACAAGTGTAAAAATCCTATGTGTGTTTTTTTTTTGTTTTAATTTACAAATTTTAAGCTGGAAAATGGTTCGTGAGTTTCATGATTGTCTCAAGCTTAGGAGTCCCTTGAATCCATAAGTACCTCAAGTCAAAAACCATAAAGCTGAAGTGCTGTAATGGAGACCGTCATTTAACTAACCATCTTGCTTTGTATGGCAGCTCTTGCGGTGTCTCTAACCTGATTTTGAATGATGGCCACGAATTATCCTTCAGTCAGGACACAGTCCAAGTTTTGAGTTACACTGCACAGTCTCTCAATTTTGAGTATACTTGAAGCAATCCAATTTGTTTAAGCTAATTGTAGAAAATCCTATCTTCTACTGTATTAACTTTTTTTGAAAAATGTGAGTATCGTTCTGTCTTCCTGGATAAGTTCTTTTCTGGGTTTACTGTAGTATGCTGAAAAAGGAGAATGCAAGTCCAGGCACATCCAGTATGTACTTCCTTCCATTAGTCCAGTTTCTGACACATTTGATGCACTGGTTTGTCTGGCGGAGCTGGTTGGTTTCAGGATTTGCATGTGCACTTCCAGCCGAACATTGCGCAGTGAGCCTGATTTTCTGTATTAAATGGGCACTAGTTAGAGCAAGTCATATGCAAACTACACTGCTGAAACGGAGGATTTGTCCGCTCTACCTGCTTTGTGCTGTACAGTTTATATCATAGACTTAGAAAAATAGAGCTATATTTTATTTACTTTAAACATTACTTTCATATATAAAACTTAAGACAAAAATGTGTGGCATCTGTTGCCTTAAGCTGCCTTGGGCTAGGAAGTCAGTCTGTCAGGTTAAACAGTGTTAATGGTCAGCCTGATTTACTTTATGTGTCCACTGCACCACCATGGTTAGTGTCTTCGGGTTTTGTAGCAGATGTATTTCTGTAGTGCATCTAAGACCTTGTACTAGTTCTCAGTATGAAAGTCCTCCAGAAAAAAAATATTTTTAATAGCAGTTCTGTGAAAATTCTTCAAAAATGCATGATCTGATATAAGTTTCTTGACTGAATATTCAGCTGAATAGATGTTCAGAATTAATTTCCTTTTATTATCCTTTCTCGTAGCCAGTTCTGAGTCTGATAACGTCGGTCTCGTCAACAGAGCTGGGTAACAAGATAATTTAGGTTGGGATATGGAAGTGCTGCAGCTAGATATGCTGGGCGTTTTCCAGGTAGCTGCACTGCACTTACGTACTTCAGCAAATGTTCTATTTATTGGCCCTGCAGGGTTCCCATCGGAGCGGGGTACGACAGGACGCACCGTGTTTGCTCGCAGCTCCCGCACTGTGTGATTCACTTGGTGCAACGCACTGCATGCCGCGTGTTGCACTGACCTCATTAGAGTAGGATATGCGGAGACTGGCTGCATGTATTATGTTGTCAGCTGTGTCAGACGAGCAATTTTAGGTTTTTAGAAGAGTAGCCAGTGTAAGTTGGACTGTCATCTTCAGAGTTTCAGCTTTTCCAAAAGAGGAAGGTAGCCCCAAGCTGTTGTGCTCGGCAAGAGAGAAGCTCGTCTCGTTTCAAAGACCTTTAAGGTTGTAACTAATCTTGGTGGTTTCAGGGCAAATATGTTTCTTGGCAGTCATCTAACGTAAAAGCGTTTTTTAGGCATATTAAATTAATCGGCAAATAATTCCAGCCTTGCAAGAAAGCTCATCTTAACAATTCTTCCCAAGTTTAAACTATATTCTGCATCCAGTAGCGTGATGGTTCTAGGAGATCGTGCTGTGTTCTGAAGAGTTATAAGGTGAAGTTCTTTTGCTACTAACTGAAGTCACTGGGAAAACTCTTACTTCCATAGAGCCAGGATTTCACCTGTAGTCTTCTGGTATTAGAATACAATACAAAATGTGTGTGGTCAGTGTATGAATTTACAGTAACCTAAGAATAGGTGTCTGTCACCATAGTTTATTCTCTGCATCTTCAAGGGCCGACCCTAAGAGCTTTATTAAACACACAGGCTTTTTCACCTATACTCAAAGGTCCTCCTCTGTGTACCTTGTGATAAATCCATTCTGTACTTCCAAAGCCCAGTAAATGTACATCCTGGACCTTTAAAGATACCTCGGTTCTGTTTGGGACAGAGAGTTCCCAAGGAAAATAAATGGTTAATGTTCAGAAGAAGATGAAAATACTTACTGAGCAGGTGATGTTAGCTTCCTGGAAATTGAGTATTTGCAACTGAATCTCTTCAGCTATTCTAGTACTTTTAACTTCAGATTCAAATGTTTATGAAAAACCATAGATGCTATTCAATTCTAAGCATCTTCTCTTACTGCTGTTATTATAATCTTGAAGAAGAATTCTGAACTTCTCACAAAAAGCAGGTTTAAAAAAAAAAAATCTACAAAAGTACCTTGAACTTCTCTATGCACTGAAAACAGCTCTGTCGTTGCTTCAGGTTCAGGCCTACCTAATTTTAAAATAGATACCAACGTTCTTAGGTCAGTAATCTTAATTCAGCAGTTCTACAAGGGATTATACATTTTGATTATATTTTCCACAAATAAAATGTGACTCATCCCAAGATGTTTCCAGGAGGGAAGCCTTGCTGTGGAACTGCACATGGAATGCTTAGGAGCTCGTGGAACCTGGGCACTGCATCAGTCAGTTTACAAATTGAATTAATAATTAGGCCTTGAAACAGGCCCGTCTAATAATGTGATGCAACTTGTGGATGTGTCTTTGGAATAAAAAAAGAGAGAATACTGACTGTACAGCAGAATTCAGAATCTCTGAATTAGGTAGATCCGTATCTTTTTAATTTAGTGAAATACTGTGGAGTGAGATAAACTTAATAGAAAGATGCACATCGTGTTTGACAAACTAAACACTGACTGAGGAAAGATCTAGGATTATGATAGAATTCTCAGTTCTTAAAATTGAAACATGTAGGAGCTGTAGAAAGGGGAAAAGTTTTAGATATATCGATGGACACACTGTGATGTCAGGATAGAGCTTGGCAGGTTTTGCAGACAACGCATGGTATCGCAGTGCCTCAAAGATAGATTGGATTATAGTTTCTGCGTTACGTGGAAATCTAACTACGCAAATTAGTGTCACCATTCTTCATTCTTGCACAGGGACAGCAATCCTCAGTGAAGCTCTAAACTCTGAAATTAAATTGAGTTGATGTAGTGCCAAAGGAAGGGATAGCTGTCAAATTATTAACATAAGAGTAGCTTTAAGTGGCCCGACTTCCTTATTGGCAGTGTGAAGAAGTGGAGAAGAGCAGCCTTTATGACTCAGTTCTTGCTTTGTAGCTTGAACAGCAGTCCATATCTGAATCCTTGCATCAGCAGACTCTGTTGCACACCAAACAAATTTACAGGATCATTATTTTATGCTCATTTGCACTAAGACAACAGACAAAAGGCAAGGAATGGGCGAGGACAAAATGAAGGGAAAAGAAATGCTGAAGAGGAAGCAAGCCTTACCACATCATTCTTCTGTTTTTGCCGCTGTCTCGACTCCTTGCATCACTTCTTTGTTTTCTAATTTAAATTTTTTAGAAACCGGAGAGCAGACAACATGGCAGGAAGGTGGGGTAGATAATACAAAGGCCTTATCAGGATGTGCCTGTGGAATCTGTGCCTGCTTCTGTGATGATAAACTGAGCTGTGGATTAATCTATGGAGCTTAATATATTGATTGTTGAAAGCAAAAGTTTCCTAATTAGAGGAAGTGCTGATCTATGGCAAACGAGAATATTGTGGAGTTGGTGTCTCTGCGTTACCTGAACAACCAATGGAAACGTTGAGCAGTCAGACACCTGGTGCATGTTACAGGAGGCACCTACATGTATGGAACGGAACAACTTGTTTAAAATGTTTAGGCTTTTGAAGCTCATATAAAAGCCTAAATTGGAGAACAAAGTTTACAGAGTTGTTAGGGTTGTGAAGTTTGCCTTCCGAGCACAGCTACTAATTTTATTGTGGGGAGGGAGGAGGAGAGGAGGGAAGAAAAGGTTTTAAAAAAACCCAACAAACCCAAGCAAATAAACAAAAAAGCCTTTGTTGTTCCTACCCCATGCTGGGAGTTTCTGCCAGAGCATGGCCATACAAACAGGTGATTAAGGGTTTGGCACACCTCGGGGAGGAAATATTCCAGCAGAAGTGAAGGGAGGGAAGAATAAGGAGCCGAGGGAGGAAATACCTAAAGGAAGGGCAGGGGTCAAAGGTTCAGAAAATGCTAAAATTAAGCCACAGAAGGTGACACTGAGCAGAGCATCCCAAGATGTGCTGACAGCACCTTGGGGATACCCACGGAACCCGCAGGCATTGCTCGACGTCTCTTCCCAGAGGCATGAGAGGCTGAAGAATGGAAACAGGCCCTGCCGTTTCCAGGAGGCTTCTCCCTCTCCCTGCTTTCTGCCCGGTTCGGACTTTCTCCTCCTGGTGCTGCCAGCAGCCGGGCCGATGCTCACACAGAATAACTGGGCTGGATAAGCCTGAGGTCTGAGCTGGGGAGACCATCCTGATGTAATACTTCCTTCATCTTGAACCATTTGTTTCTCTCCCTTTCCTGATGGCTTGGCAGTTTTACCCTGTCGCTTGTGGTGAGGAATGCAAAATTACCTGTCAGGGGGCTTTAGCAGGGAGGGCGAGAGGGTGAAGAGAGGAGGGTGAGACACTTCATCAGGAAAACAAATCAGTTAACGTTTCTGAAAATGGGGACTCAGAAATGAAATTTCCATGTAGTGTTCCAGATATGAAGATTTTGCTAAAACACTGCGTGTAGTTGCTTTTTGGCTGTGGAAGTCAGAAGCTCCTAGAGGCTCTATGACTAAGAAGTCCTGTGGCAAGTCCTACAGGTTTGGAATGCTTCTCAAGCAAGTAAAAAGCAGTCTTGTATTATTACATTAAAAATTAGAAAGATTGGGACCACATTTTTGCAAGAAGAGAGTTAAATATTCCAGAAGGCTTTGATTAAGTCATGATGAAGTCAAGGCAACAGTTGATCTAAAAATAAGTATTTTAGAGCTGGTCAAGTACAAAACTGCAGGTATTTTGTGATCTGCTTTCAATCTAAAATGGTTTTGAGTCCCCTTGTTCTTGCTAGGCAGTGGACTCGGATTGCTCGTGGTAGGTTATTTTCTGAAGGCTCTGTTTCTGCTTTGCAGGGGTTTAGGTGGAGAACTGATGAGGCCAGCCGGTAAGTACGACAGCTGCGGTGTTAAAGCAGAAAATGCGCAGTAATGAATTCTTCTGTTTACTTTTTTCCAGTTTGTTTTGCATACATTGTGTTAAATACATAAATAAGGCATGAAGAGTAGTGAAAAAACCGCAAGGTTTGCAAGCCAGACAGATGACAGGAACACCAGAACATTGGTTGCCAGCGCTATTGTGAATAACCCTGTTGGTGTAAGAGTTGGAAATAGTTCTTGGGTTTATGTCACACATTGTCCCCTTCCGTTGTTGCACACAGTGAAATTTCTTTAGGGTTGAATTGGCTTCCTTCATTGATTTACTGGGATTCCTCTCCAGAAGAGAGATGATCAGAGGGCTGGAGCACCTCTCCTATGACGAAAGGCTGCAAGAATTGGGCTTGTTCAGCCTGGAGAAGAGGAGGCTCCGAGGAGACCTCATTGTAGCTTTCTAGTATCTGAAGGGGGCCTACAAGGGTGCTGGGAGAGGACTTTTTACAAGAGCTTGTAGTGATAGGACAAGGGGTAATGGGTATAAATTGAAATCAGGGAGGTTTAGATTAGATATCAGGAAGAAATTCTTCACAGAGAGGGTGGTGAGGCACTGGGACAGGTTGCCCAGAGAAGCTGTGGATGACCCATCCCTGGAAGGGGCCAAGGCCAGGCTGGATGAGGCTTGGAGCAACCTGGTCTAGTGGAAGGGGTCCCTGCCCATGGCAGGGGGGGTGGAACTGGATGATCTTTAAGGTCCCTTCCAACCCTAACCATTCTCTGATTCTATGATTCTATGATCAGTCTGATAAGACAGCTGCCATCATGTAACTGATGATTTTATAATACCTATGTGCGCAAGGATGAAGAATAAAGACGATATAAACAACAGTTTGTGGAAAGGGTGGTATCGAAGCAAAAATGATGGTTTATTCACATGGGTTTTGAAGGTCACAATATACAGAACCACTGTGAAAAAGAAAGGCGTTGCAGGAATAAGTATCCGTCCAGGTAGCCTGGGTGTATAAGGAAACTATTCCAACTTGAGTTTCCTGCTCATGGGTTGAATGAAGGAAGTGCTGCATAGCAGCTTCCAGCTTTGGAGATGTGAAGCCAACCAAACACTAGGGAGTAAAGGAGTTTCAGTACCAAGATGGAAGGGTGATCAAGTAGGAGGGGTGAAGGGGGCAAGGGGATATCTGCAGTCTTGAGTGAGTTTACAGTCTTGTGACATGGTAGTGCAGCTGAAAGAATAGGTAGTTGTTTGTAATATGTTTAAGCAGCTGAATGTTTCGTAGTTTTGGAGAGGTACAAATGACAGTATTTTGGCATGATACAACTGTGTAGGTGGAATAAAAGAAGAATGGAAAATGTTCCACAAATTGCCTGCATGTCTAATGAAGATGATGGTCTCAACCACAACAGAGCATAAACGAAGCATAGAGAACTAAAGAGGAACCCTAGGAGACTTGGGTTTAGTCACATTGTACTTAACCTTGTCTGTGAATAAATAAGCTGACATACAATATTGCATGGTGTTTGAGTGCAGGGAGCCTGACTGTGTGACATTACCATAGTGAGGGCTGAATTCAAGAGTAGATTTGGAGCCCAGTGAGTTGATTATAAATGAAGAAGAAGATGAACTGTGTACAGAGCCTGGAGTAAGATTCAAAGATTAAATTGTGGGAGGAGAGGATATCAAAAAGGTGGCATTATATAGTAGCTTGTTCTGCTCTCTCCTGCCTCTCTACCAACTCTAAAGCAGTCATAGAGTGCGTAAGGATGTAGACTGATCTGTTTTACTTGAACTGGTTGCCAGGAAGTGAAAGGCAGTGTATTCCCTAAGCGCGGAGTTTTCATTTGAGCAACGCGGTCAATCTGTTGTATAGTAAAGGCTTGCAGTGTTTTCTGTGTTAATCCCTTCCCCCAAAAAGCCCTGAAACACTAAAAACATACTATTCTGAAAGTGGTTTTATAAGCGTAGAACTGATTTAAATTTGTAGGTTTAAAATAATAAGACTTAATTATGAAAATTACGTTTTCCTGTATTCTGAGTGTCAAAGGAAATAAAACTACATCCAGTTTTATATTCCTAGTTCTGTGCAGTGAACAGATGCCACTCCATGAAGGCCAAAAAAAAAATGCTAATAAGAAGTAGGAAAACCTTTCATTTATATCTGAATAGTTTTGTTAGTGGCTGTTGCTGTTGCCCAAGTTAGTTTACTATCAACTAACTTGCCTGAGTTAGTTTACTATCAACAGTACTCCAGAGCCATTTACAGACTGTGTTGAAAGAGAAAGGCCAATATGTACATATGCACCTTAAATGACAGAGGGGAAAAAATATACCAGCAAACAATGGATTTGCATGACTGATGGGACTAACTCATGTCAGAGAACAGTTGCTGCACAGGAGGGTTTTTGCCTGTCACAAGTGTAGTTTTCTTTTAATTTCTAATTTTGCATATTTTGGACTTCAATTTGCAAATATTTTTCAATTTAAAATTATTTCTAATGTAACTTGATATGATCGTATCTTCAAAATTGCTGCAGTTTCCCAGTTTTTGTATTTATTCAGTTATCAAATTTATTTTCTTCCAGTCTGCACTTTAATCGAAAAGTTGTCGCTATCAAAAATGCCATTTAGAGGAGATCCAATAATCGGTACGTCCTATTTTAAATAACCTTCCATTACCTTAGTAGTTTTTCATTAAGCGAAAATATTAACGAATAATGTTTTTCAAAGAAGCAGGATTGGCAGGGTTGGGTGGCCTAACAGATAAAAAAAATGCCAGAAAGATACACAGGCACTGCAACAGCTGGTGATGTTATTTGTTTGTTTTGTAGTTGGTTCCTAATGTTTTTTTCCTGTCAGGTTTCAGCATTACCAGACGCAGTGTTTGTGCTGTGAATATTGTAAACCAGCCTAGAATAGCTATACTCACTGAGAATCACAACCTTGTTTATTTTGGAAAACAAAGAAAATATGTCAGTATATAAAATTGCTGGTCTTCCTGAAAAATGATACGGAGAATGTTGAAGCTCAGAAAAGTTAATACCAGTTACATTCCATGCTGTTTCAGGTGGCTGGCAGTGGTTAATAAATGACAGTCTAAGAAGCCTCCCTCTCATTTCAACTGCTGCACGGCAGCATATAAAGGTACAGTAGTTCCTCCTTCTTCCTGTGGTCACATTAAACACAGAATGAGAAATATTTTTTGCTTTTCGTTGGTGGATTATTTTCCATGGAATCTAATTGGTTCGTGAATGGTTGTTTCTTAAGAATTTTTTTTAAAGAAAATTTGAACTCTTCAAGCTTCAAAGGGACCTTCTAGGTTAACGCGTGAACAGCTATCACAAGGGTTGTACCTGTGGGACAGGGTTGTTGGCAGGTGCTGGCAGTGACGGTGGGCTGGTTGAAGGTACTTGCTGTTGGCTGTAAGGTGACATATACATCTGATACGGTGCTTCTCTTCTTGTGTAGCTGTAGGACTTAAGACATGTTGATTTTGGTAGTTTCAGACAACTTCTGTGAGAAAAAGAATCTCTGGATGGTGTCCTCAGGCCTGATGTCCTGAGGGCGTGTTTGTTAACAGTGAGAACATGGGTGGGATCAACCAGAGTTATTCAGGGCAACGTTCTTAAATTTTCCATTAAACTCTGTTGCAAATCCTTTTACAGTGCTCTCGAGCTCCTCTTAATTCTGAATATTAAACCCATTGATGGATGCGTTTGATGCCATTTTATGTATGATCTTAACATCTCCAGTTATTTGCCTTGATTTCCCCAAGTAATACCACTACAGCTCTTAGAGGCTCTACCAAACTCTAAAGACAATTTTTGTCTGCCCTGTTAGAGCTTGTAGCCTTCACAGAGACAATTTGAATATAACATGTTGTGTTCATTTTGTTAGTTTTTAAAAATAAGATAAAAAGCCATTGCAGGTATCTGGTAACTTCTTGGAAGACAGAGTAGACTAGAATGTATCCAAATCACTGAAGAAAATTAGAAGATGAGATGTGAATTCTTGGAATATTCCTTTGGCGTTAGCGATTTATTCAAAGAGTTTTTATGTCTTATTACTGGAACTTCTAAACCAAGCTTAGAAGAATTTAGAGACAGACTTTAGAGAATTTTGGCTTGTTTGGTTAACACTAATTAATGTTGAGCCAAGTATGCTTAGTAAATGTCAATTCTCCCTTGCTTCTGTATGTATTCTAGAGAGAAATAATTTTAAGGGCAATGCTTAAGACATTAAAAAGTAATTTTTTTTTTTGACATAGAGTGTACTCTGCCAGTGTAACCCTGCATTTAAGGTAAAAACAACTCTCCTAAGAGAAGGATCTGAGCAACCTGATCTAGTGGAAGTTGTCCCTGCTTATTGCAGAGGGGTTGGACTAGATGACCCTTAAAGGTCCTTTCCAATCCAAATCACTCTATGATTCTGTGTTCTACAGCAATTAGGTAATTCTGTATATTTTGCTACTATAACATCTGTGGTAGTTGGAATATTATTTAGATGAATACTGGTTTTCTTTCACATCCTTGATTTTGCATAGAGAACAAGTCTGAGGTGTCTTTGAGGGTAGAAATGAACAGGCTGTACAGGATTCCTGTGTTATCATTTAAAAATTCTTGTACCTGGCAAACATGAGTATTAATAAGTATCATTGCTATTAATACGGAGTTAAAAGTGCATAGTTTTCATATGCTCTCAAATTTAACACAATTTTAGTCAGCATCATATTATTAGCTGAAAAGTGTAATTCCACCATGAATTTTGTGAGAAAACCTGTTACACGCTCTGTGAAATAGCAGCTGTATTGGTGTTGTGTTTTGTATTGGTGACCGAAACCACTCTAAAGATGAGCAGGTTCAGGTAATACACAACCTTTGGTACTTTTCTAAACCAGTTAAGATTGAGACACAGGGATTGTGATACTGATATTTTGTGGGTTTTGCCTATAACCTTCAGTCCATGGGTGTTTGTTTTTCCTGTGTTTCCTTTCTGTAGCTTTCTGGGGAAGTACGGTTTGTTTCTTAGTAATGTGGCATCAGTATATTGAAGATGAAATGATGACTTCTGTATTTCGTAATACTGTGTCATCCTGGAGGCCCTTCAACTGAACTGAAGATATAGTTGATACATTACTACTAAGGTCTTTATTTAGGTTACTGGTACTTTTGAATGGTCAAGAGTAGGATCTGTTTTTTTCTTACATAGGCTTCCTGTTCAGCTGTTCTCAAACGAGTATTGAGAAGAAATAAAAGGAAAGTAAATGTCAATAGCTGAAGGGAATGAATTTTTTTAAAAAATCCACTCTCTTTCCTTAAGCTTTTAATTCTAAGTACAGTATGACCTTAGTAAATACATCAAGTTCACAGTTTTGTCTTTGTTACAGGAGTCTGCAGTCTCTGCACTGGCTGCGCTGTGTAATGAATATTACATCAATGCAAAGGGAGAAGCTGATCCAGCTCTACGGGGTAATGACTCATGTTTACAGTAGAGGCAGAAAATACTGGGCTGGACCTAACTTGCACTTTGGAGCTATTGGAAAGAATGGGAGGAGCATCACTGGTTTTAATGGTCCTTAAAATGCTTCAGAAAAATGATAAATCCAACTGACAGTCCCAGAAACATCTCAGGGGTTTGGCTTGTTTTAGACTAGAGGGGAATACAAGGTACCATAATAATGAATATTAGGAAAACCAGATTGCTTTCCTCTTCCATATTATAAAAGTGGAGAGGGAAACTTGGCCAGGTGTCATAATCAAGAGGGAGAGAGGATCTGCTGGCAGGACATGCAAGAGAGGGCTGCAGCTCTTCTGATGTTCTACTCCTTTAGATGCCTCTGAAGCTTCGTTGTTTTTTCCTGGAGTCTAGGTTCCAGGTTCTGGCTTGTGCTTGAAGCAATCATGGTGATATAGCCATGATATTCTGGGGACATAGAGTCAGGTTTGTAGATACAGGCAAAATTTTTAATCAGACTTTCTGGAATGATTTAGAGAATAGAACTGTGAGCTGGAAATTTTTCTGTTCTAAAAAATCTCTGGTGGGCTCTGTCTTGATTGTGCTTCTATTTGGCCTTGTACTGCTCTGAAGCCTCTTCCACTCATGGAACAAAATTGCCATTACACATTCAAGCATCTTTTAAAAGAAAAAAAAAGTGTATCTAAATCTCTGTTCCAGTAAAAACTATCTTTCATGACCATTAAAACCTGTGTGTTGTGGGATTGAAATCCACTACTAAAAATCCTCCCCATAATGTCTGATGTATGTGTGGCTGCGTGGAAGCTACAGTGCAGAAGACACTCAGTGACAATGCAGGAGCCTTAGATAAGTTGGTTAAAGCAGGTATAAACGTGATTAAAGAAATTAGAAAAAAAGAAATTTTTGGAAAAATATAACCAGTGTTTCCCTGTAGCTTGACAGATAAAAATGAAACCCCAAATCAAAGGTACTTCAGTGATTCGGCATTCTGAATCTGGCCCTGTAAGACTGCACTTTTACTGATTCACTTCTTTTGCCTCTGTTTGTTTTCAACTTTTCTTTGTTTTATTTTTTCTCTTCATGTGTTCTGGTTTCGTTTTGATGACTTTTAATATTCTTTTAGGATGGGTTGTGTTGAATTAACATTATAGACACTTCATAGGCCACATTGTTTTATGAAGCTGAAGACTCTTAGAAGAATATTAACGTTTGCATTACCCTCGCTAGCGTAATTACTGAGTAGTTGCAAGGAGAGAGCTGCTCATTTGCTAGTTGTCATGTCTTAATTTTATGTCATTTGGCTAAAATGTCAATCTCAAATGTGCATCAGTCAGAGGGAGGACTGTCACAGTCTTACTGTCTAAGATCATCTTGCTGTCTAAGCAAGCGTTGCGTCTTCCTATGGCCTCAAGACTCTATCTTGTGCTCCGGTGGTTTGGAAATGTTTAAACAATAGTTGCGCTTACAGGAAGGTGTTGCTAACCTCTGGACAGTTCCCTGCTGCAAGGAACTAGTTGAGGCCTGCCGATTGCATAGGGATTAAAAAAAAAAAAAGGTCGTCATTCATGAGTTATGATTAATGTGTAGTTTCTTTTGGTAACTTCTTTCTTCCTCTAGCAAGTATTGCTCAGTCATTAAACCTTAGACGACAGTAAGCAATGGCACAATTATATAATCTTCTGAGGATGTCCAGTGCTTTTTCTCTGGGGATTAAAAAGTGCACATTCAGTGAAGTGCTTACTAAGACCACCTTACTCCTTTTGGAAGTGGAGCTGTGTTCATTGCAGCTACCTTGGTTGTCCTTAGAAACTTCTCTGGAGTACCTTGTTTTTCTCTGCGTTTTACGGAGGAGCTTGATACAGCACAAACATCTGGTAAAGGCAGTGTTGTCTGTTAAGCCTCTGATAAAGGCTACAGTGTACAGTAGTCTTTACTGTCCTCATCTATCTACTGTCTTTACCTGTCTGCTCTATGCAGATAGAGTCCTGAGGTTTTTCTTTTTCTCATTCATCCCCGTTTCCTTCCTTGTATCGCTTGACTTCTTCGTTGAGCCTCTTTCACCCCTGCTCAGTTAAGTTTATTCTTGCTCCTTCTGTCTGTGCTGCTGTTTGTAGACCCGTTGTTCCCGTTCTGACATGTAACAATGCACAGTTCTGAGCGCAAGATCCCTACTTCAGAGGGATCGCTGCTTTTTGGGCTTTGTCCTGCAAAAAGCCCAGCTTTAAAGGGATATGAAATTATCTCATTGCTTAGCAATGATCTGTGTGTTTAAATCCTGGGTTTCCCTTCACAAATCCAGAGACATCTCGTTCCTAACACAGAATGATTGACTAATTATGGAACACGATGACCTGTAAATATAAGGGAATGTGGTCCCCTGTGTTTGCCTAGAAATTCTGTGCTTATACTTAGTCAGATTTTTAAAGAATTGTAACCTTTTAAAATTGAGAACTTGGTCTTTTCTGTCTCTGAATGACTAGGATTCGTCTGTCTAAAACTCTGTCTTCATATTTAGAAAATAAGAATTCATACATGTAACAGTGAATATCTTAAAATTTTAATCTTTTCTACGTAGGAAACTAAAGGTATTCTGTGTTTTAGTTTAATGAGCTATGAAATTTTCTAGCTGCTCTGTTTGGGGCATGTTTTGTTGGGTTTTAGTGTTTTTTGTTGGCCAAATAAGTAATGATAATTAGGTGGTAGTTGCTTTGCACTCTGCAATTGTATTTTTTCTAGATGAGCTGGTGACACAGTACGTTTCAGAACTACAAAACACAGAGGAAATGATTCGTTGTGGCTTTTCACGAGCTCTTGGGGCCCTTCCAAGATTTCTGCTGAAGGGCTGTCTCCGCCAGGTGAGAAAATACAGTCACTGTAATGAGAAGAGAGCACACGGCAGTTTGAATGAAACCTGTGGTGTTAATCAAATAAATCATGATGATCATAATTAAAGGTCTTTGAGAGAGGAGTTTGGATTGTAATGTCCAGTAACTCCAGAAAGTCATCATGAGTTTAGCTTGCTGTAGATTCTGATAATTAAAGTTTAGTCCTGCTTTAGTAGTGTTAATGGAGAAGCCATTTGTCCAAAGGGAAAAGTGAGGCATGCTGACTAGTCTGGGTGAGAAACCACACACTGTTGCCTGCTCAGCTCTCGTAAGTGATCGAGCGCAATTTAATACAATATCTTGATTTAACATTTATCATCAATTGGATTTAAATATCTTAAATTTTATATGTTTTCAGGTTTTGGAAGGTTTGAAAAAAGTTACCTTAATTTCCCCTGCAGACGTGAGCTTTGCAGAATCCAGAAGAGATGCCCTAATAGCAATTGCAAAGTATGTTTATCCTCTTAATTTTTGTCTAGGTTTGATTCTTTCTCTAGAAGCTCTCTCCTGTTCCTTCTGCTTTCTGTGGTGAGCTTGTAGCAGGATTCTTGACATCAGTTGCACTGTGATGTACACATTTTTAGTGTGGGACTGCATGTCTCTCCATCAATGCAGCTTTGATTCAGAGGATTTCCACCCATCTGAGGATGGACTGCAGCTCTGGCGGTGTGGTGGTTTCTGTGATCAATTGAATAGCTAGAGTCTATTTTAAAGTTCACCTTTCTCATGGGCTGCAACTTAGTAAGCTTTAGTGAGGACGAAGAAGAGATTTTTTTTTCCAATTTATTAATAAGATTGAATTTGTTTAAAGAAGTTGTACTTCTCTGAAGAAGTATTTTCTGTGCTGGCATGGCACAGTGTAGTTAGTGTTAATGTATTACAGTATATAAACTCTTAAAATGCTACATGTCTTCAATGTAAAGAGGTTTGTTGGTATCAAATTCAATGCACATCATATTAGTCCTTTGCTCTTCTTGGTTACTTCACTTCAAGGAGAGTTGAGAACTGAGAGGTGCTTTACGCATGTTTCTTTTGGTAGTATTAGAGACATAAACTGATCTGCTTATCTGTTGAGTTGTTTTACCCTTGCCAGTGTTCTTTAAACCCAAACACCAATTAGAAATCCTCATGTCACATGTAAGAGAGTAGGCTCAGAAATATTCTTCATACTGTTTGTAGCAGATGTTACAGGTGTTCAGGATATTGTACGTCCAGGGAATTCTAGTAACAGCAGAATATGTAACTGTAATGTTTCTTCTTGCTAGTGTTGCATTTTTTCCCTCCTTTTTTCTCTTTTTAAAGGGTTTGCCAGACAGTTGGTGTAAAGGGAGAAGGATCCCAGGAAGAATATGTCTGCAAAGATAACGTTAATCAGATTTATGCTACACTACTTAATGGTGTGACTGACTACACCACGGACAGCCGAGGAGATGTCGGAGGATGGTAAGATGCCTTACCAACAGAGACTTAAACTTAGCTATCATGTTTGATGTCTAATTAAAAACTGATGTCTTTTCAAAACCTAATAGAAACAGATAGCTCCAAAGTTTTGAGGATTTGAGTATGTTAGAAACACTGGGGGAAGAGGAGTAGAAAGTCAGAAGGAAGGCTGACAAGAATTTGTTGGTTTTAAACTGAAGTTCAGCCTTATCCTGGTTTTGTAGATGACCTTATTTTCTTTTAGTGAATATCAGGTATGTATTTAGTTGGAAAAAGTACAGAGATTTAAAACATTACTTGTGTTTCTTTGAAATAACATATTTACTCCAACTTGGTGAACTCTCCTATTGTGCCTTCGTGTTGTGGGGATTTTTTGCCAGGAGAGGGAGCAGTTGCATAACGTATTAGTGACAAAGTTTCAAAACGAGTGACTGAGATGGATAAAAACTTTATAAATTGTGCTGTGGTATTACTGCCTGTCTTGTAATTTTAGGGTTTCAATGATTTCGGCTATGAGGTTGCAAGAATAATTAAATCATAAGTCTGCAGGAATACATCTGCAGACTTGGGTGAAGTCTATAGAATAGGTAGAAAATTAAGTCTGTAGTAGTCATGTTTTTGTGACGTTCTTCAGTCTTCACGGTGCCCATAATCTGTAAAGAAGTTGGAGTGTATAATACTGCATTCATCTGAGTGTTCTGTATGCCTGCAGCAACACTGATTTGAAAAGGCAATTTCTAAATTGATGAACCTGAGCACTCTAAAGGCTTATGTCCTTCTTCGGGTTTCTGTTTAATTTCTGAAGAATCTGTAACTGGGGACGTAACATCACTTGCTGGTTGGAAGTTCCCGCACTCTTTGCATGTGGTAGACAGAGCGGCAATGAAAATTTCATGTTACTTGTGCTTCATCCTGGAGAATTCCATAAGGTACTGACAGGGTGAGAAAACCGTGTGAAATGTGGATTTTAGAGACCAAATGAGGAACTAAGGAAGCATACAGACTGTCTCATCAGGGTGCTTTTCTGCGTGTATTTAAGAGCACAAATATGCCCAGCCTGAAATAGTACTTGTTAATAAAAAGGATTATATCATCAAAATTCAAGAAAAAATACCTGCAGGTTTAAAATATATGACCATTTTGCTGCTGTGTAGAAGGCTCAGAGCAGTAACACTTAATCCTTGTACAGAAAAGCCATACACTGCATAAATGAATGTGATTAATTAATTTCAGTTGTCTGAAATTCTCTCTTGATTTTGAGTCAGATTGTGTTTCTAAATGGATTTTGAGTCAAATGCTGATTTTGACAAAGACTTCTTAACTTTATGGTCGTAATCCATAATTTTAATTTGAGAAGGTGCAGATGTATGCTGCTTTTGGATGCAGTGCTATACATAAAGCATCAGCCCTGTTTCACAGTGTGGCTGAGAGTGTTTGTGTGGTACGGTAGTGACGTGGTAACAGATATTTAACCTGCCCACAGCTGTATGAAGCGTCTCGGGGTACAGAGGTGCATGTACAGGATTGTGAATTAACAACCTGTTGGTTGCTCCCATCTAGTGTGTGGCCATGCTTGTGTTACATTCCAGGCAGGAAGGGGGGAGTGCCTGAACAGTACCACTAAGAAATCATTTTGTTGGTTGAAAAGGTTTCCTTATTTCCCAGTTGACTGAAGAAGCTCTTAATGGTGCTGAGGCACACAAAGGGCTTTGATGTTTAGTTTCAATTGTATCCTCGCAGAGTGTTTGCATGAAATAACTGTTTTAGGCATTTTTTCAGTCACTATCCTCTTCTTCGAAGGGTGTTTTCAACAGTAGTGTGTGAACATGAAAGGTAATTCCCTTTCCGGGTTGATGGAGTGGCACCCACTGTAGTGTGACTGGCAGCGGAGCCTGCCCAGGTGAGGAGGGATGGAGGACTGCTGCCACGGAGGCTCCAAACCCCGTGTGTTGTGGCTGTAGCGAAGCTGGCAGAGCTCCCTGGTGATGGTTGTGAGCTGTGACGGTGATTGCTGACTTGGGAAGGCTACAGTGAGCCAGGCACGCGCTGTACCTTGCTGTGAGGCTGTGTACTCGCCCTCGCTCGCCGTCCTTCTTTCTGTGGCCAAAACAGTCTGTCACTTGCTCCCTCCTCCTGCGGCAAGCAGAGCAGCCCAGTTCTGGAGCACTGGCCGTATTCAGCTTCAGCAGCCCTACAAATCTGCTGTAATCGGCGTGATGCCAAGTGTGCATTGTGTGAGTCAGGAACGTTTTGTTTAGGCTCAAATTTCTGGTTAGGTCTGGTTTAGAATTGTGTCCTACTCACTCTTGACTTTAGTGTCATTATTCTGTTTGGTAGCACCAAGCTTGCTTTAAAAAAGAAGTTAATTACAGTGGCATTCTCCTCTTTAGGACTGTGTATTAGACAGCCTGACCCTAGGGGCCTGAGCAAAGGGTCCTGTGAAGGACCTTTGTGGTCACCATGTGGACTGGGAGCAATGATAACACACCCTGTAACCAACAGTTCTCATGTGTGGAAGAAAAGCTGAGATTGTGCTTTTTTTTGTGCAAGATGCCAGCAGTCATAGAATCATGGAATGGTTTGGGTTGGAAGGGACCTTAAAGACCATCCAGTTCCAACCCCCCTGCCATGGCAGGGACACCTTCCACTAGACCAGGTTGCTCCAAGCCTCATCCAGCCTGGCCTTGGACACTTCCAGGGATGGGGCATCCACAGCTTCTCTGGGCAACCTGTTCCAGTGCCTCCCCACCCTCTCTGTGAAGAATTGCTTCCTGATATCTAATCTAAACCTCCCTGATTTCAATTTAAACCCATTCCCCCTTGTCCTGTCACTACAGGCCCTTGTAAAAAGTCCTCTCCCAGCCCCCTTGTAGGCCCCTTCAGATACTGGAAAGCTGCAATGAGGTCTCCTCGGAGCCTCCTCTTCTCCAGGCTGAACAAGCCCAGTTCTCGCAGCCTTTCATCATAGGAGAGGTGCTCCAGCCCTCTGAGCATCTCCGTGGCCTCCTCTGGACTCGCTCCAAGTGGTCAATATCCTTCTGATGCTGAGGGCTCCACAGCTGGATGCAGCACTCCAGGTGGGGTCTCACCAGAGCAGAGGACAGGGGCAGTAGAGGGGCAGTCGTGGGGTAATGTGTACTGCTGTCAGACTTTAGGGCTTGTGCTCCACCGAGTCGTGTTCAGTCATCACGATCTGGCCAGTTCCAGCGTGAGTTGCAATAGCTGTTTACAACTACTCTGTCGTTGAACAGAAAGTGAGGTGTGAGTTCTACAGCGCCAAGTAGAAGAAAGACACTTTGTGCCCTGTTAGTACTGGGTGCATTTTAATTGAGTAGCCTCGGGCAGGGTACTTCACCACGGAATTTACAAACGCGTTGGAAAAGTACACAGGGCAAACAGTCCAGACTACTCTTGCCAGTCTGAGTTAATACTTGTGTGTGTTTCTCTTGTTCTGTCTAATGACACCCCACTCCTCAGCCTTCAGTCCTGGTTGTTAAAATGGTCACGGGGCAGGGAAGTAATACCACGGGACAAGAAGTCAGAGGGAAGTAGGCACGCTCGACATCTCAAGCTTAGAAGAGGAAACAAGGATGCAAACGAGTAAAGGATCGGGAGCAGGTCATTCCAGCTTGCGCTAGGGAAGGAGCTTGGCTTTCCCTCTCCTTCCCTGGCCCTCAGAGCAGCAGGAGGGAGGTGAGCTCTCTGAGCTCTTGCTCAGAGAGTAGTGACACGGGAGAGAAGTGAAGCTGAAAGAGAACGTCAGAGCAGCCACATAGGGTGGGGAGTCCGGCGACGGGAAGAGACACTGAGCTTTTTGCTTTCAAAATTAGGCGAGATACTGAAGTAGATAAGAACCCGGTGAAGTATAATTAGGTATTCGAGTTAACTTCCACATCTGACAGCTTAAGTTCCCCATACCTGCTGTTTATCTTCTGTCTGTGTCTTAATTTAAAACCAAAACTCTACAAAGTGGGGAATTTTCAAAGAAAACCTGAGGAAATTAAATTGCCAACACCTATTAAAATCCAAATGTGCTTTGAGCACCAGATTATCTTTCCGCTGCTTTGGCAGTGCCAGCCAAAATCAAGAAACGTGTAGATTAAAGGGGGAAGGGGAATCCTTTCTCATAGCAAACTGTGGGCTGCTAAATACTTTTGTGGCCTCTCAAATACCAGTGTTTTCTCATTCTGTTTCTTCTAAACCATTGACTAAGATGGAAAGATATGGGGAGAATTGCCATTTCTCTGGAGAGACCTTGTCTTTGGTGTGTAATTTTTGTCTTTCTTTAATGGGATCGTGGGAAAGTTTAACTAACTTGACTTTCCATATGCAGACTTCACACTTCTGATGGACTGTTTGCTGGGACTTGTCCAATCTGTCTACAGGTGTTAGACATGAATCCTTGATAGTCAGATACTGCTTGAAAAACTAGGGAAACATACTCTGATGAAAGATTGCCAAGCTTGTATTGAACTACTTAGAAAAAATGATGTAGTTTACTCTTTTTACCTTTATAACAAATGTCCCACCCAGTTTTAGATTGCACAGGCAACTCTTTTCAGCTTGTTCTGGAAATTTGAAACAGGAGTATTTCTTTTCACAGTAGGCAGGTGTATCTTTTCAAATATTTGGTTTTTCTTTTTTCTTTCTTTTTTTTTTTTTTTAATTATTACTAAGAAAGAATGACATGACCGTGAGTGACTAATGTGGTGAGTGTGTTGGTCCTGCTCTTCTGCAGGATCATGCCACCAATTGAGGATCTGCCCGGGTCTTAAGAAAGAAATTACTTGTAACAACTCATGTATTGACAAGGCATGTGGCTTTAAACAAGCGTGTGGATTTTTGTTTTTAAATCGAAATTACACTAATTCTTTTTTTTTTAATATTGATGTTATATTTAGACATTTTGAAGGCAGAAAAAGCTTTACCATATAGATAAGATGCACTCCAAACAGAACACAGTGTTACTTTAGCTAATCCTTTTCATAAAACCAATTATTATTTAACACAGAGATTTAAGCTGTTCTGAATCAAAATTCTGTTTTAATGTTGGAAATATTAAGCTTGAAAATTTACAAGAATATATCACTTTCAACAGTGCTTAAATACCTTAATTTCAAAATGTGGGTTGGCCTGTTTAGAAGATTATTTGAAGCTGACAAAGCACTTAGGTGTAAATACATCTACTTACACACTAAATATTACTACACTAGATGTTACTAATCATCATCAAGTTGTACCCTCAGTGCAGTGTGGGCTTCACTTTGCAGAATGGGGCGTGGGGGTAGCGCTGTACACGCTGCTTTTCCCAAAACACATAAATACGACAGCTGCTCTCAGTGGTCAATGCTTTCACTAGTTTGAGTTTTTACCAGTGTCTAACTAACTGCTGGGCTGTTTAAGTAAATCCTGATGTAACGACTCCAGTGTATCTCTGTTTCAACAGGGTGCGTGAAGCTGCTATGACCAGTTTAATGGAAGTGACGCTTCTGCTGGTTCAGAACGAAGCGGAGTTAATCAATGCCAACGTGTATGAGCCTTTTACTCTTTTTGTGTCTTCTCTCTTACAGCTACGTTCTAGTCCACACAGGAAAGCACTGCTTATATATTGCATACTGACTCCTTTGTGGAGTGGCACAACACTGTGGAGAGGAGTGCAGCTAGCTTGCACCCGTGCAGATGCCGAGAATCTTGTATCTGCTTTTCAGAGTCTGACCTTATTAGAATGACAGAATGGTTTGGGTTGGAAGGGACCTTAAAGATCATCTAGTTCCAACCCCCCTGCCATGGGTAGGGACACCTTCCACTAGACCAGGTTGCTCCAAGCCTCATCCAGCCTGGCCTTGGACACTCCCAGGGATGGGGCATCCACAGCTTCTCTGGGCAACCTGTCCCAGTGCCTCCCCACCCTCTCCGTGAAGAATTGAGAGAAGCGGGGTGGGTGTCCCACCTCTGGGTGCAGCTTGTGCAGCTGAGGGGTTCGGTCTGTGCTTACCACCTCTGTGGAGCCTGCCATATTGTTCAGTTATATACAAAACCAAACTTGCCTGCTTATCCAGAGCATTGCATCATTCATTTGGAATGTGATAAAATGTGGAGATGAGTTTGTATTAGTTTCTGTTGTCTTTGCAGAATTATTAGTAAGGAGATGCAGAAAATACAATTTACACCGAGCTTCTGATTTTTAATATCACGATACAGTACTCCTAGTAGTTAGCAGTTTTCAAGCGTAGCTTGAGCTGCAGCAAAACTTGCCTAATCATGCTGTTGCTTTATGGACAAAGGATGCCCAAGCATTAGCTGAATATATACATGATTTCTTTTTTAATTTAAAACCGCTTGAACTCTGAAGGACAATACTGAATTCTGTAGGAATACACTACTCATCCAGGGATTCCTCCTGTTGGTCCGCTGCAGACAGAGATTATTCACGTGAAACTACAAAATCAGTCCTGCCAGCTGGATCGCATTTTCTAAATATTCTGGGTCTTGCTGTAACTGAAGGGATTCTAGCTGGTTTTACTATCACTAGTTGTCCTTTCTGAAGTTGTAAAGGGCCGTGTGGAACACAGTGTTTTGTAGCAGAGAGTTTGTTTATGAGTGTAGACAAACCAGGGTATTATTACAAACTGCCCAGAGTTGAAGAAGTGATTGATTTAGGATATATGAGATTTGGGATAGACCTTGCCCTCTGCTACGTGTGCAGTTTTCTGCTTGAAAATGTGCTTTTCTCAGAGTTCCCGCTCTGTTTCCATATGAAATGTCGTAGTTCATCCAAGCCATAAAGGACCTTTGTATCTTTTTGGATGAAACGTGGCAGGTGAATATCAAATACGGTGTAACATTAATGTCATGGTGGTTTTTGATTGATGCATGGCAGACAGAGCTTTAAAGATGTTGTCACCTTGTTGATGTCGGAAGTTACTTTATGTTCATTACTAAGAGTTAAACCAGAGTATTTTGATAGCAGGATATTTTTGGTATCTCTGAAACAATTTAAATTTAAATACGTGTTTTACTAATTAAACTGTGTGATTGTTTTCTTCTTTGTAGCTGCAAACAGATTATGTGCTGGCTGGCTCAACAGTCGGCTGAAAAAATAGATAAATTTCGAGCTCATGCAGGATCTGTGTTCCTTACACTTTTGCATTTTGACCATCCTCCAGTTCCACACATACCCCATCGAGAAGAGCTAGAGAGGATATTTCCAAGGTAATATATTGAAAAATGTATCCTAAGCCAATGGAAGTGAGAGATAATGCACACAGTCATACCTAACACGAGCAACCTGGTGGAATTGTTGTGCAGAAATGTCTAACCTGTGTATGGAGGGGCTGTTTGTAAGAATTTCACTGAAGTGTCCAATGAATTCACAGAAACATATAAAATATTCAAAAGAAGAACTTGTAGAAGGAGTTCCTGTTAAAACCCATAGCTTCCTAAAGAGATAGGTCTTACATGGCCATACTGTGTAAGTCTTTCTCTGGATCAACCCCAATGATTTCAGAACCCATCAGCCAATTTTGTGGTGGGTGGTAGAGATCGTGTTGGTGGTAGATGGGAGACCATTGGTAGAACAGAACTGCTGGGAGCTGTGCTTTGGTAATCCTGCTGAGTGTGAAATATCTGGTTTATAATCTTATTTTATCTTCGCAATCTGAGAGCTGGAATTTATTGGCAGTCCCCCTTCCTGATTTTTTTTTTTCCTTCAACTGGAAAACTTCGACTGGTCATAATGATAATTTTTAATGATTTGTATTATTTAAACCAAGCTCTAGTTCCTGTAGTTTTCCAAGATGGAATTCCTAGTTAAGGCAACAGTGAGAGCAACTCCTGAATGGTGCTTATACCTGATGGGGGTGAAGAACATCCAACTTCGTGTCCTAGTTCTGTTTGTTAGCAGAATCTCAACCTCCTGTAATGCCAAGTGCTCTGTCTGCCAGGTTCCTGACTGAGCTGTGGTGTGATGTGTGTGTCAGCCTTTCCTGGGATACGTCTGTCTTTGTGTCAGTTGTTGACCAGCTGTTGGTGGGAGAGAACTGGGAATAAAATGCAAGGACGAGAACTTGTTTTCTTGATGTAGAGAAAAGTGCATGTGAAGAGGAAACTGTGGTTGAAATCCCTTATCTGAAGTAGAACAAGGCTGTGAAGCTGGCTGCACTTACTGGCAGTGGCTGAAGTTTTGGTCAGTACTTTCTCTATATGCTTAAAGAGCAATGATTCATGTGATTTTTAGGTAATTCAGAGGCTTTCTTTGCTAATGAATGGATTGAGGATGATGCTTGAGGATGGGAGCTATCACAGGGATGTGTGGAGAAGAAAGACACTGCACACATACCGATTATTTTTTTCCTTCCCCCAGGTCAGAGAAAGAGACTCTAAACTGGAATGCCGCGTCAGCAGCTTTCCCTCGAATCACCCGGCTTTTGGGTTTGCCGACATACCAGTACTACGTGCTTTTGGGTCTCTCTGTGTCCGTGGGTGGATTAACAGAGACAACGGTAAGGAGGCAGAGCGCCTTTCCCCCGTGGTGGGAGTGCACTTACTGATGCAGTTGCTGACTGAAGTGTCTGGTCTGTTACAGTGGATGTGGCGGATGGTTGTAAGAATTTAAGATGTAACATTTTTAAAAGAAATCAAGTCATACTTATAAACCTGATGGGCTTTGTATTTTTCATCTTTAAAAGCATTGTTTTGTTGACTTAGTAAGCATGCAGGAAACAAGGAGCAAGGACGTTTTGCTTCTCAATTCCTGGCCTGATGGAAGCTGAGACTTCCAGCCTGTTGGCTCTATCAGCTCTGACATTTGTTTGCTCACCTTTCCAGTGTTTATTTGCTCACCTTTCCGAGCTGTTAACAGAGGAAGAGCCGTTCAGCTTGCTAAATGTTGTGGCTACATGCAAGGTGATTGGTCTTTTAAATGAGGCGAATCCCTGTTTTCACCTGCAGCCTGGTGCAAAGTGTTAAGTATTAGTTGTCAGTCAGCATTAGCAGTACGTTCAGATTTTATTTTAAATTGATATGTGTTCTAAAAAAGTACCAGGAAGATACCAAAAGTTACATTACAAAGAAATATTCCTCAAGCATTTATCTGAATCCTCTGAGCTTTGCGATTCTGTGTGTGAACAGTGTCTCTATCCTGCTTTTGATAGTCTGTTACGCTGCCAAAATCCTCATGGCTTGATTGGTGCCTTAGTGTGTCCTTCTGCCCTTACATCACAGTTTTCTTCCTAGGTTCAGGATTCTTGGTTTCAAGATAACTGGCTTCTAACTGTTTCGTTATTTCACGTAGCATGTGAGCGGTTGGGGTCAGGACACGGTTCAGTGAGATTCAGGGTGACACTGCAGAGAGATAGCAGAGCAGTACCAGATACGCTGGGCCGTCAGTTAAATCTTTCAATTGCCCTGGTCCTGTAACAGGTGGAGGAGGTCATGAGTCAGCACCCCAGCAGTCTCTAAGAGTGTTTCTAATTAAGACTGCCATGCCTGATTAAGCAGGCGGGTAGAATAGCCGTGGATGTTGGGCAGCGCAGTTTTTGTGGAGAGAGAGCAGCTCCGGCTGGGTTGGCAGCAGGAAGGTCACCATCCCATGCCTGTCTCCTGTGGCTTCCGCTTCCCTGTCTGCTGAGCTGTTCAGAATGTGCCCAAGCGATGGCTTCTGCCTGCTGCCAGGGGCTCCGCACTTGGGATCCAGGAGGTGTCCGTATGCCCTTGGGTTTCGTGTAGCTGAGAATCTGGTGTTTGTGCAGTCTCATGTATTTAAACCAACTTTGAGAATATTAATGTTTCTAAAATGGCAACTAATTATATAGCAGCGGCTATTTTAAAAATTTGAAAACATATGCGTATTGGTTTGTGACAATAATTATCGGATAGACAATGTAACTCTTAACAGATTTTTTTAATAGCAAACATGCTCATGAAACTCAGCTTTCAGTCAAACCCAGTTAATTATAGGAGACTCCACCAAACCCAAAGTTATTCCTATACATATAGAAAGGGAGGAAAGCTGGGGAGAGAGAGACACTCTGACTGCCAGCCGAGGTCAGAGGAAAATTCTTAGTCAACGTTTTAGTGTCTTCTTTGTTTTTATGTAAAGTTTTGGTTGTGTGTGGTTTTCGAAAGCACAGACAGTTCAGTTACTTCTGGTTCCATGTTACCGTCTGCCGGTGTTCTTCAGGTACCATTGCAAAATACAACTTTGAAATACTAACTTTCTGTGACCCTGCGTTTTTCTTCAGTGTTAAAGGCTTGTTCCTGTTAAAATATTCTCAAGGGCTTTGGCTTTAGGAAGAAGATGACCTAATTCTCTTCTGAGCCTGATAGAAGTGCAAGGGAGGCTCCAAGTACATGGTGAATCTGTGATACTTACACTTGGGATTACACAGTGTGGGTTAAATTATATTTATTGTTTGAAATGGGATATATAAATCAGAATTGATGTGCCTTTAATGCCTTGTGTTTCAAGCTAGTCTGTCAAAGCCTGTAGTGTTCTTGCTGAATATCCAGGGACTGATTTAAAACATGAATAGAAAATTCTAAGAACCATTCCTATTAAATCCATATGAAAGAAGCAGATTTTAAAAATCTTGGATAAAGGAAAAGGATTATTGAAATATGTGCTCTTGCAGTAACCTGTGTGTGTTCTTGGCATCTCTTCTGTCTTCCCCCGCTCACGTAAAAAATACATACGCATGTGCACGTGTGGACATGGAAATTAGAAAGTTAGAAGATTGTCATATACTGCAAGAGAGTCTGACTTGAAATGTTGATTTGTCTTTACGTCATCTTGGAGAGAATGAGTAGGAGAAAGGCTCTATTGTAATTCAGTGGTCGGTGGCTATTTCTCCATAGTTAAAATTGCTGTGCAGTATATTTAGCAAGAGTAGTCCTTTGTTTTGCTTTTTAAAGAGGTTTTCTGAAATGAGCTGTGTGGGGTATCTCAGAAACATTCTGGTGGCAGCGTGGTTGCTGAAAGAATCGCAGCTCAAGCACTTGAAGTAATCTGGAAAAACAGAAGATGTCATTCCCTTTGGGATTTGGCATTCTGCAACATCGCCGTGGTTCAAAGGGCACTTTCTCTGTGTAAAAGAATCTTCTAATTATAGACCTGGCCCACAGTGGTGCATATTTCTTGTGGCTGCATAAAAAATCCTCTCAGTGTATGGAGATCAGAACTAGACAATGGTATCCTTTCTCTCGTTCACGAAGCCTGTCGTTTCAGGGGTCAGGAAATAATATAATTTCATGATTGTTCATCACGAAGCCTGTCGTTTCAGGGGTCGGGAAATAATTTTAATATAATTTCATGATTGTTCAACTACACCACACTGAAAATTTAGTTAGAGGACAGAATGTCCTGTGCTTCCCCTCCCCCCATAAAGAGTCAAAATTACATTAAAAAACATTATGGAAATTTTAAGTAAAGCCTCCAAGAAAAGAAGCAACCAATTTTGAAAATATGAGGTTTTGTCCCGGAGCAGTATATCAGAGTTCTGGCATGAGATGCCAAAGTCATGTAACAGTTGGAGCAGCCAGCTCCAAAACTCTCTGCTGAATGCACCGGTATGTTAAAGCACCTGACCGTGGCATATGGATGTCAACATTATCTGTGTGCCAAGTAGAATCATAGAGTCACAGAACAGTT